TGCTCTGAGCTCGGGCGAGGAGAAGAAGAAGCCCTGGTGGAAGTTCGGTGGCAAGGCCGACGGTGTCCAGGATGGCTTTGTTGCTCCCGATGACTGGCTCGAGACTGACCTTCGCGCTGGTCTGAGCACTGGCGACATCGAGCCTCGTCGCAAGAAGACTGGCTGGAACGAGCTGGTCACTGAGAAGACCAACATCTTCATTCAGTTCATTGGTTACTTCCGTGGTCCCATTCTCTATGGTAAGTGGCTTTGACATCCGTCTCAATTGACGCATCTCTTGCCAATTCGTTGTCTAATGCTTTCTCTTACTATACAGTTATGGAACTTGCTGTCCTCCTCGCTGCCGGTCTGCGTGACTGGATCGATCTCGGTGTTATCTGTGGTATTCTTTTGCTCAACGCTCTCGTCGGTTGGTACCAGGAGAAGCAGGCTGCCGATGTCGTTGCTTCTCTCAAGGGTGATATCGCCATGCGTGCTATCGTTGTCCGTAACGGCCAGGAGGAGGAGATCCTCGCTCGTGAGCTCGTTGCTGGTGATATTGTTATTGTCGAGGAGGGTACCGTTATCCCTGCCGATGTCCGTCTGATCTGTGACTACTCCAAGCCCGAGATGTTCGAGACCTACAAGGAGTACCTCGCCAACGCCACTTCCGACGACCTCAAGGAGAAGCACGGTGATGACGACGATGATGATATTGAGACCCACCAGGGTGTCTCCCTTATTGCTTGTGATCAGTCCGCTATCACTGGTGAATCTCTCGCCGTCGACAAGTACATGGCTGATGTCTGTTACTACACCACTGGTTGCAAGCGTGGCAAGGCCTACGGTATTGTCACTGCTACTGCTCGTCACTCTTTCGTCGGTAAGACTGCCGCCCTTGTCCAGGGAGCCCAGGACTCGGGTCACTTCAAGGCCGTCATGGACAACATCGGTACCTCTCTGCTCGTTCTCGTCATGTTCTGGATTCTCGCCGCCTGGATTGGTGGTTTCTTCCGTCACTTGAAGATCGCTACCCCCGAGCACAGCGACAACAACCTGCTTCACTACACCCTGATCCTTCTGATTATTGGTGTTCCCGTCGGTCTTCCTGTTGTCACCACCACCACCCTCGCTGTTGGTGCCGCCTACCTCGCCGAGCAGAAGGCTATCGTCCAGAAGCTCACTGCCATCGAGTCCCTTGCTGGTGTCGACATTCTCTGCTCTGATAAGACCGGTACTCTCACTGCTAATCAGCTCTCCATCCGCGAGCCCTACGTCATGGAGGGTGTTGATGTCAACTGGATGATGGCCGTCGCTGCTATTGCTTCTTCCCACAACATCAAGAACCTCGACCCCATCGACAAGGTTACTGTCCTTACCCTCCGCCGCTACCCCAAGGCCCGTGAGATCCTCTCCCGCAACTGGATTACCGAGAAGTACACTCCTTTCGATCCCGTCTCCAAGCGTATCACTACCGTCTGTACTTGCGATGGTGTCCGTTACATTTGCGCCAAGGGTGCCCCCAAGGCTATCCTCAACATGTCTGACTGCTCCCCCGAGGAGGCTGTCCTCTACCGTGAGAAGGTCACTGAGTTCGCTCGCCGTGGTTTCCGTTCCCTCGGTGTCGCCGTCCAGAAGGAGGGTGAGCCCTGGCAGCTTCTGGGCATGTACCCCATGTTCGATCCCCCCCGTGAGGATACCGCCCACACCATCGCTGAGGCCCAGGTTCTCGGTCTCTCCGTCAAGATGCTTACTGGTGATGCTATCTCTATCGCCAAGGAGACTTGCAAGATGCTTGCCCTCGGTACCAAGGTTTACAACTCTGAGCGTCTGATCCACGGTGGTCTCGCTGGTTCCGCCCAGCACGACCTTGTCGAGAAGGCTGATGGTTTCGCTGAGGTCTTCCCCGAGCACAAGTACCAGGTCGTCGAGATGCTCCAGCAGCGTGGTCACTTGACCGCCATGACTGGTGACGGTGTCAACGATGCTCCCTCCCTCAAGAAGGCCGATTGTGGTATCGCTGTCGAGGGTTCCACTGAGGCTGCCCAGGCTGCCGCCGATATTGTCTTCCTTGCCCCCGGTCTCTCCACCATCGTCGATGCTATCAAGCTTGCCCGCCAGATTTTCCAGCGTATGAAGGCTTACATCCAGTACCGTATTGCTCTGTGTCTCCACCTCGAGATTTACCTGGTTACCTCTATGATCATCATCAACGAGACTGTCGACTCCTCCCTTATTGTCTTCATCGCCTTGTTCGCTGATCTTGCCACCATCGCCGTCGCCTACGATAACGCTCACTTCGAAGCCCGCCCTGTCGAGTGGCAGTTGCCTAAGATCTGGGTCATCTCCGTCGTCCTTGGAATCATGCTCGCTGCCGCCACCTGGATCATCCGTGGTACCCTCTTCCTCGAGAACGGTGGTATCATCCAAAACTTCGGTTCTCCCCAGGAGATTCTCTTCCTTGAGATTGCTCTGACTGAGAACTGGCTGATCTTCGTTACCCGTGGTGGAAAGACCTGGCCCTCGTGGCAGTTGGTCATCGCCATCTTCATCGTCGATGTTCTCGCCACTCTGTTCGCTGTCTTCGGCTGGCTCGCCCCCGACTGGGAGCAGACCTCTCCCCCAACCCCCGGTGGCCCCGGCTTCTCCAAGAACAACGATGTCGACATTGTCACCGTTGTTGTCATCTGGGCCTACTCCATCGGTGTGACTATCATCATCGCCGTTGTGTACTACCTCCTGACCATCGTTCCTGGTCTGGACAACCTTGGCCGCAAGACCCGCTCCAAGGCTGACACCAAGATCGAGAACATGATCGCTCACCTTTCCAAGCTCGCTATCGAGATGGAGCAGGACTCGGAAGGAAAGACTCGTTACACCCTCGGTGCCCGCGCCGAGGAGATCGAGGACAACGAGTAAATGCTCGTTCCTTTCGCTTTTTTCCAACTCGTTACTGATTCGAGGTCTAATTTCTTTTATCTCCCTGCGATTACACGCAAATTTTGCCGTGCCACCTACTTGAACATGCATGCCGTGGGAGTCAAAAAGGCCTCCGTCTTTTTTTGCTTCCTTTTACCCGTATTATAGACTTTGTGTGTTTCATTTACCCCCTGGCTGTGGTTTGCTCTCAAGTTGCTAGAGTCATGTTTCCATTCTCTACGTGTATGTATGTCGTTAATAGTGGCAATTAGTCAATCTAAGGGATTCTAATCATTTCTGCTCCTCGTAATTTGCATTTGTAGCGTCTGTAGCATTCCAGCCTCCATGATCTTCTATTCTTCCTTATTATCCCGTACCCCTGTGCCTGTTGGTCTACCTTCGCTGTACGAATTGTCTCTTTCCAAATCTCCAACGCTTACAGGTGGAAGCCAATTCTCCGTCCCCATACTTTTCCCGCGGATGAATTTCCACTTCGTGGGGATAAGCTTCCTGTGGACCCCTCTCTCTTCGCAGTATGCACGAAGTATAGAGAAGTAGCACAATGCACTCGACTATCCAATTTACTCCTAACCCATCTTGGCACTAGTGTCTGCTCGCGCAGGATGAATTCTTCAATTTTCCGTCTCATGCCGCAACTGGCTATGGCTTCTATACAAACCCCCTCTCTCCAAATGCCGTATAAAAGCATAGTAAAATCACCGTAGACCGTGCCCATCGGACGTGAGCCATCACCTACACCTACCAAACACGATGCTCCCATCCATCCTCTCTCTGCTGGGTCTCCTCCTATATACCCTAGGAGCCAACACCATCGCCATCCAACCCATCTCCATACAAACCTGCCAATCGACCGGAACCCATTGCCCCCCGGGAACCCTAATCGTCAGTGCAAGTTCTAAACACGCCTCTCACACAACCGTCCAATCTGCCATAGACTCCCTCCCCGACGACGAAACCCCACAAACAATCCTCATCCTAGAAGGCATCTACACCGAGCAAGTAAACATAACCCGCTCGGGCCCAATAACCCTTCTCGGCCAAACCACCTCTCCCAAGGACGCAACCCGCAACCGCGTGCGCATCACCTGGGCCGCTGGCAACAGAGACAATACCGGTGGCATCGACAATGTCTTCTTCAGCGTGATGGTTGTTGCACCCACGCTCGAAGCGAGTCTCACGGGCTCAGGAATGACGGGGTATCCCGTGCCAGCTGATACGCCATTCGGAAATAAGGACTTCCGTGTGTATAATGTCGACTTTGATAACACTTGGGCTGAGTACTCAGATGGACCAGCACATGCGCTGAGTCTTAGTCGTGCTAATGGCGGGTTTTATTACTGCGGTTTCTATTCGTACCAGGATACTGTACGTTCTTCCATGCTTTCGGTTCTCATTTGTGAGATCATTCGCACTATTCTCACACCCAACACAACACAACACAAACCACTAACTCCCCACAGGTCTACATAGGCAAACTCGGTAACGCCTACTTCTACCAAAGCATCCTAGCCGGGCAAACCGACTTCCTGTACGGCTTCGGCACAGCCTGGATCCAATCCAGCGCTCTACAGCTCCGCGGTTGTGGCGGCGGCATAACCGCCTGGAAGGGCACGAACACAACAACCCCGAACAAGTACGGCGTGTACATAGTTGACTCTAGCGTGCGTGCGGCGAACGCCTCCATCGCAGCTGATATCAAGGGGGCGTGTGCGCTCGGCCGGCCTTGGAATAGCCAGCACCGGTCGATCTTTGCGCGCTCTTACGAGGACGGGAGTGTTGATCCGCGCGGATATATTGATTGGGTTGTTGATGGTGTTTCGAGGTTCGAGGAGGGCGTCACGCTTATGGCGGAGTATCGGGTTTATGGGCCTGGAGTTAATGAGACTGGTCGTGTTGAAGGTGGTGTTACTTCTGTTCTTGGACGGGAGGAATGGGAAATGTATAGTACTCCGCAGAAGGTTTTTGGCAATACGGAGTGGGTTGACTGGGATATTGTTAAGGGGAATTGAGTGTGATGGGTTGTTAGTAGTGAGATTCTCGTATAAACAGTTTTGACTGCTTCACTTCTACTCCTGATCCTATCACGCATCTCCAGGCTCCTGGCGCATCTCCCCAATAGCCTTCCCATCCGAAGTCCCATAAGTATCTGCATACCTCCCCGCCATCCAGTCATGAACGGTAATCGGGGGATATCTAGCGCCCTCCTCTGGATCCTCACACCCAGGAAGACAGCGAATAGTATAGTTCGGATTCCCCGAGAAGAAGAACGGAACACTAAACCGCTCCTTGCCACTGGTATTAATGACGCGGTGCAGATTCGACAGGTACCGATTATTCGTCCAGCGCATCATCATATTCCCCAGGTTGACAACATACGCCCCAGGGACCGGAGTGACATCGACCCATTCAGACGAGACGTTATTCCATACTTGCAACCCGCCCGTATCATCCTGGAGGAGCATTGTGATAGCGCCGAAATCGGTATGAGCGCCGATTCCTAGACTCGACTTAGTTCGTGTTTTGACACATTCACATACAAATTCTAACACATGGTGTTCCACTAACCTCTCTCAATGTCTGACGTATCAGCCTCCTGGGACGGATAATGAAGCAGTCTAAGAATGGAGACGGGATGATCGCAGAAATCACCAAAAGCATCCTCGTCTAGACCCAGAGTGCGCGCTATAACTTGCATGATGGCTACGGCAAGCTCGATCATGGCGTCGTGGTACTCGTCCATGACGCGACGGAAGCCTTTCGCGTCGGGGACTTCGGAGGGATACTTATTCGGTCCCTGACCGAAGCGTCGCTGGACGACGTATGAATCGTCCAGTGGGAGGTCCTTTCCGAGATAGAAGCCTTCTTTGAGGTCACCTTTTGTGCGTTCTTCGAAGTTTTGAGAGCGTAGTCGCTCGTATCCGCGGTTGAAGCCGCCGGTGGCTTTGGGGTTTAGTCGAGTTTCTTTTTGCTGCTTGTTGAAGCAAGGGAGGCCTGTATTACCTTGATTGTATTTCTCTTTTGTTTCCAAGGGGAGGTTGAATAATTCGCTTGAGTGTTGTAGGACTGCGGTTTGTAGTTCGGTTGGGATAGCGTGGTTGATCAGCTGGAAGAAGCCAAATTGTTCACAGGCTCGTTGGATTTGGTGGATGAGGTCTTCTTTGGTTGAATCGTTGGCATAGAAGGCTGTTGAGAGGGTCAGATACCTTTTGGAGTATTTGCTGCTGGAGGGCGCTTCTTACGGGCGAAATCAATGATAGGGGGTTCGTTAGGGTTCATCTTGGGAAGTAGTTGAGTATGAAATGAGAACATAGCCCTGGAGTCCTGTATAGTCTTTTATAGCTGGCCGTATACCATCGTAAATGCGGGGAACCCTATCTCTTCAATTATGTACATCTACTTGTTACCTGTGCAAAATCCGAACATCCGACTCCGCTCTTGTGCAGTCCCCGAAGGGACTTGTCGGACTTCTCGTGATAGTCCTAGAAACTGCTACAGAGAGGTCCCACAACCCAGTATGTATGCTTAATCTAGATCGAAGCTTTATCTGTTAGGCAGTGCAACCAGACGTACAGAAGCAGAGATCAATATGCATGATGGACATGATCAAATTATTCGAGAGATGGCAAAGATAAGAGATTTGTGGATCTATGAGAAGAGAGCAAGTATTTGAACAGTCGGGTATACTTACGTACAAAGAAAAAGTATACAAATACAACGTAGGTGGTCTTCGAATCCCGCGAAAGGGACAGTGGTATCATATGTGCTCTAATCAAACATGCTACAAATGCATGGGCGTCCATTCCTGTCCGGGATAGGACGTGGGGGACATGACGATCTCCTCGCTGGAGTCATCCGCGGTGATGGCAAGCTCTACTGGATGAGGCGGGTTGTTGACGACACGGGCCTCGCCCTCAGTGCGGTGAGGATGCGCGGATATCGCGGAGTCGTTCGAGACGGCGATGTTGCGGGGTACATGATTCTCGGATGCTGGGGATGTCGAGTCTGAAACCACTGGCTTTCGGGATCGGATGCTGAGCTGAGGAGCCAGGCTTTGTTGTTTGAGATTGTCTTGCAATTCATCTTTTTGTCCTGGCTGGTTCTGCTTGTCTGTCGGGGCCTCGGATATCTCCCCATACAGTCCGTTTTGAAGGATCTCCCCTAGCATGTGATCCTTGTGCTCCTCATGCTCCTCCTTTTCATGGTTCTCGCTCAGGGTGCCTAGCTGCGCGTCTTTGTTTTGGTCTTGCTGGGCCTTCTTCTTGTGCTGCTCCCCTTTCTGCGGTTGATGTATGTGGTGGTCTTGCAAGTCCTCTAGAGGTGACGGTGAGTGTGCAGCTCTATTTTCCTGGAATGACATGGGAGAAGGCGACCGGGAATGATCAGGGAGAAGCTGACTGAGTGTGCTAGCATGACGAGAGCAAGTGGGGTTTTCATTCATCAATCCAGACCGAAACTGCGAGTAAAACCGACCAGTCGCGAGGGAGTTCGATGACGAACTGGATGGAACTGATACAGATGGAAGTGATATACTGGCACTTTGATGATCATCACGTGCTAGAGGGTTTGGCTTGCTTGGTGGTGGTGGTGCCCTAGTCTTCGGGGGTTGAGTCGGCAAGGGCTTTTGTTCAAACGGATTGCTGAGGACCGGTGGTCCATCATGCGCAGCGAAACTAGTATTTGCATTTCCATTTGTCGACTGGCGTGTCGGCAGATATTTGTTCTGCAACTGCTCTGATGTAGTCCTTGCGTGGTCGTTTGATTTTCTTTCAGGATCTTGAGAGTCTTGCCGGCCAAATAGTACCTGTCTAAGTTAGAGAAAGAAATCAAAACAACTGTCTTAGACATACGCTAATCCTGCTGAATGTTCGTTTCCGCTGGCCTCCTTGGGGTGGCTGAGGCCCTTGCAGTTGAATACCAGACAGGAGGTCTCCAACTGAAGCGCGTCGTCGCCTCCCGAACTCCTTCAGTTTTCCAATAGTGGACTCCCCATTCCCTGCAGGAGACCCCGATTCCGAAGGTTGCGGAAGACCGTTAGCAGGTGTGGAGGGGCGAGTCCCTTTGCCGTTGGCACTCTGCTTTCCGAAGCTACCAAAGCTCAACATACTGCTTCGGGTTCCCGGCGAGTATCTGACTTCGTTTCTCAAGGGGCTATGCACATCTGGAGCGGATGGAGGTAAGCCGCTTATCGATTTTCTTTTGGATTCGAGGACCTCAGCAGAGCTTGTGAACTCTGACGGATAGAAAGGTATGAAAGGCCTTCTTTTCCTTTGAGCAGATGACAGGGAGCCACCAGGAGCATCATCCGCAGAACGCTCAAACTTGGTTTTATACCGGGGTTCTGGTACTACCTTGTTTGCTGTCTCTTGCAAAGGAGACGGTGGATCCCTGTCAAGTTCTTCATTAGATGTACGTCCCGCTTGCTCGTCAGGCCCGAGTGTCGAGACAGAGGGCTGGCGTCTATGACCCTGGCTAGGTGCAAGCCCATGATCATTATCCTTGGGAGGAGGCGAAGGAGGCTTAGGACTTTTATCAAGCACTGGGCGGATTGACGGAGTAACAACCTCTGGTGTGGGCTTGCTTGGCTGATGACTCTCATTGTTCCCAACCGGAGGAGGGACGTGAAAAGGCTCATCAGGAATGACTAGCAAACCCTTTTCTGCGACTGGGTCTTTGTTCGCCAGCGCTTGAGCATCGGATGGATTGCCAATCGTGCTTTCTCCCTGTTGCGGCAGTGGCTCTGTGAATCGCTGTTTGCCGCCATTTGCCTGGCTAAATGAATTCAACGCCATCGGGGTACTCGCCGCCCTTCGAGAATGAGAATCTGTGGGCGAAAGACCAAGCGCAGCTATCATCTCCTGCTCCAAATCTCCAGCCAAGGCAGACTTTCCGGGATCTTCAGGTTTAGGAGGGATGCCGTTGGAAGATGACAGTTGCTCCGGTTGCACAGTCGTTTTGCCAACACGGTTGTGCGACAGGTTGTTATTCCCCGATTTGATCGCCTCGACACGTTTGCCGGCATATTGTTCACCCTGTGGACCATCTAGACAGAAGCTGACCGGTGGATCAGGATCAGAGTTGAGCCTAGTTCGCTCGGATTTGAAGATGGGCAGACTGCCAAATGTGAGAGAGTTTCGCAGAGAAGAATTACCAGACACTTCACCCGACCCTGAAGGGAAGGAGAACTGAAAGCTGCGGCGAGAAGCATTTGGAGTTGACTGAACCTACAACATTACCAACATCAGAATGTAAACAAACAAGGGCGGGGTGTTAGATTGTATCAAAAGGGCAGATGCATCAATCGTGTCTCATTCTAGAGCTCAATGCCAAAAAGAAGTGTTCGGAATTACATCGTGGTATCCAGAAAGTGAAGCAATGCAGCGAAAGTACAAGGGAAACATTAAAGCGACGGCCTCCACCGTGCCTGCCCAAGCAAACGACTCGCTCAAACGAAAAAAAAAAGATCAGGCATCTACCTTCTCAGAACCTCCACTGGGTCGGAATCTGCTTCTACCCTTGGCAAACAGCCCCTTGGCTGCCCCGGTTGCCTTGCCACTAAACGCTCCCGCAGTGTGAAGGAGTTCCTTCCCTTTCTCTCCGACTTTATCCTTGTTCATCACGGTGCCCAGATGGCCCGACGGGCGTCGGACATGAGTGGCGTTAGTCGGAGTACCGTCATTCATGGAACCGAGATTCGAAAGAGCCCCCAACTTGAATCTGCTGCGGGAAAGATCTGATGGTGGCACGGTAGGGGAGAGATTCTGGCTCTGTTGGACCACATCGGCATGCTCGGGGTGGTCATGGACTGTGAACTGTAGCCAATGATTCAAACCAGTGTCAATGGTGGCGAACTGGTCGCGGGTGTGTTCGAAAGACTTGATACGCTGGTTGATAGATGTGATACCGAGAATGTCACGGAAGCCCAAAAGTTTAGACTCATCAAGGGACGAGGTACCAGCGTTAGAAAGGACTTGGAGTTGCGGGGGTGGCGTAGCCCCTGGTCCCATAACTTGCTCCGGTGGAGTAATGTTCTCCGGAATAGGCGGAACAATCGAAAGTCGAGGTCTTTCCACAGCACGCTGACTACCGCGCGCTTCATCATCAGAAGCAAGCGGCTCGGGCGACACGTCCGACACCAATGGGGCGGACTCCTCAGGTATAGGCTCAGGCTCTTGTGTAGATAACGATGTGGCTAAAGGAAGGGGCGATGAATAGGTGCCGGGCATTTGAGGCGGCTCTGGTTCTGATGAATCGGAGGATTCCCATGAGAACCGTCTTTCTAACTTCGGCTTCTTTGGCTGATCGACGATCGTAGATGAAGAGATACCAGCCGCGCCTTGATTGGTCACATGAGGGTCTTGGGACACCAAAGGAGGCGGGCTAGTCCAGTCTGGGTGGCTTTCAGAAGCCATAGTGTGTTGCGGGACAGACTCAGCGGGTGCCTGCGATTGAGGTTGGTTGCTGGGCTCCGGGTCGTCCGAGGGTGTGGCTTCCCGGCTTAATGATCGGATAATCTCTTCTCTCAAGCGATCATTGTCAGTATTCTGTGGCGATTCTTCGGCCCCCATGATGGTGGGGATTTCGCCATGGAAGGTGTCAGAGCCTGACGTGCTTCCGAATTTGAGAGGGGCAGGCATATCCTGCCCATTGTTCGAGTACGAATGCATCGATGGCTTCTGAGAGTCTCCCTTATCAGGTGATTCTGGAGAGGGATTCAGGACTGGAGGAATGGAGGACAATTCTGCATGGCCCGCGATTGGGGTGTCCTGGTCGGTGACTTGAGGTTTCCTCGAAGGACTGTTGTCCGAACTCGGAAGGCTCAGGTCCCGGCGATGACCAGGGTTAAACCCTGGAACCGCATTCGCAGTTGCCTTCGGAGAGCTCGACTCATTAGGCTCCTCGAGAATGGTGGGTGTTCTTTCGTCAGTCATAGTACGACCGCCTATGATAGGGCTGATCGTCGAAGTGCCATCACTGTTCGACCGCGCAACACTAGTGGTAGTGGATTGTGGAGTTTCTGGGACATCGAAGGCCTGATTCACTACCGATCGGAATCCCGGGGAGGGGTTGTGGTGCGAAGAGGGCTCCTCAGATGCAGAGCTATCCTTTGACGGGTTGGACTCTGCACCACCCAAGAAATCGGCACCGAAGCTAGACATGCGCTTGACTTCCGGTAGACCCAAATCATGGTTCTCCTGGTTTGTTTGAGGTGGAACTCCAACCCCGTCAGACTTGGGATCATTGCTACCAGTGATAGGAGACTGCTGTGTCGCCTTCTCCTCACGCATCCGTTTATAGAGGTCGGCCGGCCTTACAAAAGGAAGCGCCTTTTGGTCTCCTCCACTAACGCTCCTACCTTTTCCGTCAGCCAAAGCTGACTCTCCGGCCCCGGCTCCGAATCCGATGCCCGACAAACGCCTCGAGGACAACTCGGACGAACTGCCAGCGTTGTGGGTAGCATATGGGGGGCGATGTACTGCGGGAGGCGCCTCCTCCTCCTCCTCTTCATCGTCATCGTCACTACCCCAGTCGCCTCCGTCGTAAGAATATTGTTTCGCTTCCACCCATCGTTTGGTCTTGGAGCGATTCACGTTTGTTTGGAATGAGATCGGGGTTCCGCTACCGCTGCCTGGCGAGAGTGGACTGCGAACATTTGGCGGGGAAGGACTAAAGCAGGTCTCAGTATCTGTGCGACTAGACATGCGACTCAATCTGGATAGATAGTCTTACAGTTTCTGGGCTCCGTGGCCATGCGATTGGGTGGGGTCTGCCATCAGGGGAACAGGATCAAGGTGAGGCGAGCTCGATTACCAGCATCGACTATTGCCTATATTGTAGCTGATCTCCGATAATTTGGCACAAGAGCAAGTTTTAAGGTTTAAATAAGAAGGTAACAGCACTGTTCCCTTACAAGACAGTGTGTCTGGGAGGGACGAAGGTGGCGATTTGGCCCAACTTTGGCAAGGCACCGATCAAATGGGCTGGGATAATTGGAGGGACAAGATGTACAAGAATGACGTGTATCCGCGGAGACAAGAATATCAAGCCAGCTATATCAGTCAGACAAGGTAAAGGAAATAAAGAAAACGAGTATTAGAATAATGAAACCAGCTACTCCATATATTCCCCTGATCTGTCGACGTTAACTAAATTTAGGTGGCGATGCGGGGCTTATGTAAGGGCACGTTTCTGATTTAGTAACGTGGACGTTAATTGCGTAGACAAGTTTACTTTGTTGACTTTGACCTTTCATCTTCTTGCTTGACTGTACGGAGTATATCCAGTCTCTTTGTTTTGTTCCTGAATCTATCCAAGTCACGACGTCGTACCCTCGGAGCTCTCTACCTGCAACCGGACACGTCCTCACCTCGCCCCCTTATCGATTGCAGATAGAATCACACTTCAGCTTCAAGACCGAATTCGGCGTTTGTCGACTTAGTTACATTTGCTCCTCAATATTGGCGCTCCTTGAAAGACTATAGCCACTCGTCTCCCATCCTCGCTTCATATCCCTCCTTCCATATCGCAAAATGACCGGCCCATCGATACAAGACCGGACCAGCGAGTTCAGCGCTATCTTGGGCCACGCCCAGAAGCGCCTGGGGACATCGAAAGTTGGTTCGCAGCGCCAGGCACTGTTGACCGATGCGCAAAGGCGACAGGCCAATGCGTCGCCCCAGGGTGCCGGACAGGAGGCGAAGGCGGCAAGATCGGAGTTCGCGCGGCGGGCGCGAGATATTGGAAGGGGGATTACTGGAACAATGGCAAAATTGCAGAGATTGGCTGAACGTGAGTCTGGTTACGTTGATCAAAATGCCAGCAATCTAACCAGGACATAGTGGCGAAGCGGAAAACACTCTTCGACGACCGACCTGTCGAAATTTCCGAATTGACATACGTGATTAAACAAGACCTTGCCGCCCTAAACCAAAGCATCGCCTCACTGCAGGCGCTCACCCACGCGCAACACCCCAAATCGAATCGCTCGAAGACAGACCAGGAAGGAGAACACAATGACAATGTGAGTGAGATACGAAAGGCCGCGCACGGACAAGTCGCTGATTACCCATTTCAGGTTGTTGTCATGCTGCAGGGAAAGCTGGCCGATGTAGGTGCTAGTTTCAAAGAGGTGCTCGAAGTCCGCACAAAGAATATCCAGGCATCCCGATCACGAACCGAGAACTTCGTTTCCTCGGTATCTTCCAAATCACACAGCGCCCTCGACGCACAGCGCTCAGATTCGCCTTTGTACAACACCTCTGGACGACGGACACCTCAGCCCGGATATCAAGGCAACTCCTCCGACCTTTTGACCCTCGAGCCCTCAAACCCTTCGCCCTTAGGCCGTCCATCATTCCAATCAGACCAGCAGCTGATGGTAATGGAAGAAGGAGAATCGAGCAATACATATGTTCAAGCTCGAGGCGAAGCTATTGAAGCTATTGAGCGAACCATCAGCGAATTAGGTGGTATTTTTGGTCAGCTGGCTCAGATGGTCAGCGAGCAGTCTGAAATGATCCAGCGCATAGATGCCAATACCGAAGATGTGGTCGACAACGTCCAGGGGGCTCAGAGAGAACTAATGAAATATTGGACGCGCGTGTCCGGGAATCGCTGGCTAGTTGCCAAAATGTTTGGTATTCTGATGGTACGTTCACTGGTCGAATTCCTTGTCTGCACATCCAACTAATGACCGTTATAGATCTTCTTCCTTCTCTGGGTGTTGATTTCATGATAGACATGAGATCCGCCCTTTTTCCCCCTTCGTACTGTATTATAATACCTGGCCCGTGTGTTTTCGACAGATCATGGTCCTTCTGCATATCTGCACTCGCTGAGCATTTCCATTTCTTTTTACTCTGGCTAGACTCTGGGAAGTCCAAATCATCACGGTCTTTATCTTCCTTCTCACATCTTTTTCCATTGCTCTTTGCTTGGGACTGTGTTCTAAAGAGTCACCTGCGTAAATACACCTTATGTACTATTCGAATCCAATCAACCGAGATCATGGGATAACCATGTCTTCGAAGCGAGTATTTTCATTCTATTTACTTCACACATCGAATTGCGTCATCACATTCCACAGTTCCGACTCTGCCCATCCCAACGAGGGCTGATTGTCGAACAGTTCCCACACAAGACTGTCATCCCATCCCCCCACAGATGGCGGTATAGTAGGACCTCCTCCAATGGAATCTGCAACCCCAAAACTGACCAAAGCCTGATCGGCACCGGCAGGGCGGCCAAATATGCCTGTGCAGGATGATGCCATCTGGGCCTCTGTGTTTCTAGCCGCGTTCGTATCAGAGAGTGCAGCTGCTGGCCGTTCTGAACTGGATGGTTCTGTATTCCCTTTAACCAGAGGTACACACAAGTCCAGGAATTTGGAGAATAGCTTGTACAGTTTGCCAATGGAGGCATTCGCCTCTGCGAATTGATGTAGATCGTCGGTGATGTTCTTGATCATATTAAAGTCTCTCTCATTTGATGTTGCGATCACGTTGCAAAACAGGACAAAAAACGGTGCTAGAGGGAATAGCAGCATTGTCCTATTGAAAGGGTGATTAGTTTCGACTAAGATATTGAGAGATTGCTTGGGAATGTTTATATCATACCAGGTAAGAAAGTATGGGTATGAGTCGATAGAATTGATGCGGCTTGAGAATGCTTCCTGTAAAGCTCGGAGAGTGGTGAGGGCTTCCCGGGCCGTGTATAGACAGTTCTCACAGACCAAGCGGGACTTGAGTACCGAGGAGCGGGCTTGGATGATTGTGGTGAGAAGAGAGTAGTAGTTGAAGTCCATTGATAGCCATTCGCGCCGCAGATGGCTCCATGATTGTGTAAATTGTTGTTCTTGGCGACGACGAAACTGAAAGTTGGATTAGTGGTGGTTCTTTAGTTGGCCCTCGGTCTCTCTCACCATTTGCATATTGGAGTGGATTATGTGTGCCCGCGCCACAAGATCAGACAGTATATTGGCCTTCTCTGTGTCTCCTGTTGCCTTAGGATCAAGTAAGATGTTCAGTAGAGTGTTCTTCAACTCTGAATACTCGACTACGCCTATTATCATGGTAGATGTCGGTAGATCAGGGTTGATGTGGATCAACTGGGTTGGTTTAGCTTTCAGATCCGGCAGAGACGGTGGTCGGAGGAGCAGCAGGCTGAGGGTTTTGTCAAAGTAATAGCACAAGAACACACAGGCATGGATATTTTCCTCTGTCTGGGTTCGAGGACTGACATCTGTGATGTTGTGATAGTTTAAGGAGACGATCATTCTCGAGGCTAGTGCTGTCAACATCCAGCAGCGTGTCATGTTTCCTAAATATTGCATCAAGCGGGTCTGTCGTGAGTCAGAAATGAGTCGATATATATGGAGCCACCGGAAAGAGACAAAAGAAACATACTGCAGACAAAACCGATTGAAGCAAAAGAAGGCTAGGTTCAGCTGCCAGCGGAATTTGATTCAAAATTTCTATAGCATCGGCTTCATACCTCTTTTTGAGTGACCGAAAATGATCCCTCAAAGGTTCGCTCGTAATGAGAGGGCCCATGTTTGATATAAAACTCATGGCTTTCACCCAGACAATAAGTCGGTAATGCTGGAGCACTTGCTCACATTCTGCGCATTCAATAATTGCAAGCCCCATTTGTTCTAAGACTTTGTCGGAAATGTGATCAGGCCAGTTGACTATTCCCTGGGAGTTTGTTTTCTTATCGGGTCCTATAATAATCAGCACCGCCGACATCTGCTCCATTTATGGCAACTTACCGGGTAACATCATATAGAGCAATTCCGGTGCGAGGGTAGGGGGCTCTAGGTTTTCTTGAACATCCATATCATGAATAGCTGCGGTCTCCTCCCAATTTAGAGTAGGATTGGACAGCTGACTGACGAACTTGCGTGCCGATTCAAGTGCAGTGCGTTTATCCTTCGACAGAGCAGGATTGCATTGGAGTTCATGCTCAATATACTCTCTAGCCTCACTAGCATGATGTGTTGAGCTAGGAGAGTGTGCCTGATGGACATTTTGTTGCGCCACAGTCTGAGACTTGCGGTGCTTACTTAGTGGTGGCTGCAGGGGAGCCATATCATTGGGGTCATATGCTCGATATCGTTTCTGCTTGTCGTTGAGCACTCCAGTAATACTTGGCAGTCTGGCCGAAGGCGACGAAGATGTACTGCTAGCGGCGTGATGCGCTGTTGGAAAGTATGCTGCCTCTTTATTGCTTGCCTCTTCTAGCTTGGCCAATCTTTGGGTCAATGTTTCCAGTCTTGGAAATGTCAGCCGTGGATTCTGAAGATCTGCAATCCACATCGCACGTACCGAGAGACCCGCGGCCTATGAACTCGTGCCTGGCGACTGCGAAGGCATTCTGCACCTGCGTCGGTGCAGTTCATGCAAGGATCCTGGCGATCGCATTTCACCTACAAGACTCGAGATGAGCATCGGGGTATTAAAGGATCGAATGTGAGAAAGGAATGATTATACCTTCCGAGTATGACATAGATCGCACTGATAACTGATTAGCTGAGCTACACATATGTCTCAGAAATATGTATGCCTTTCGCAATGTCATTCTTCAGGCAGACTTACCGCAGACATGTTGACTTCGGAATTCCCAACGGAATTTCGGAATCAAATCATATGCCAGGTACTTCAGAGGAAGAGAAAGGAGTCTGGTTGAAGTCCGGGGTTGTGGGCTCGGCGCCCGAACTGCCGGAAACCGAGCGGAAGCGGTTTAGTGTGGAGCTTCATGTCTATAAGGCCTTTTTTTTCTATTTGCATACAAGGTTGTTGACTAATGTGCCACTTTCTACTATTTGTATTGATAGACCATTCAGAAATAACTTGATTGGTATTATTCCTCGGAATTACTACTCCTCGCCGGATATTGCGCTAAGCTTTGGACTATCGTTCATTATAACAATCATAACAGTATCCACATTCCAATTTCACAACAGATCCGTGGAGAACATGCACTTCTGAATACTTAACAGTATGCGGGATAGCGCCTCGTCGATCCATCTCATTGCGTGCTGCTTGAAACCATACATGGTTAAGCTTTGGCTCGAGGAGGGTTTGTTCGCCATGGTCATTGAAAGACGCCATATACTCGTTCAGATCCTTTCGCATCGCCCACAAAAAGTCCTTTTTATGAGACCATGTAGAATGTTGCTCGCCCTTTTGTTTTCTTTGGTCATCCTTCGCGATGGAAACAAAGAAGGCGACGATTCTCTCCATGGTTGAAGTGGTGAGAAGGATAGTCAACCAGCTTTCGGCCGAGGGACTGGGGATTTCCGGGCCCATCAAGCGCCGGACCGTCGAAAATAGAAGCTGCATGCAGTGGTGGGTCGACAGAAATACAAGTGTATCGTCAAAAGGCGCATTTCGAAGGATTGATTGCTGTCTTTCAATAGAACAAGCCATATTTTTGTGGTGATGAGCCGAGTGATCACAGTCAGAGTCAGAAGATGCGGCTGATTCCAAGAAGAATACCGCGTAGGCTCTATATTCGAGTAAGTACGCTTCCAAGAAAAATAACATGGTGGGGCCATACATCGGATGCAAAAGCTTGGCCTGGAGCAAAGCCACGGCTTTGCTGTAGATAACTTCTTTCTCTGTTTTGGAGGACGACCATAAAGGCTGGGCGATTGTATCGGTCTCCAGATGATGTTCAACCACATGATCAGCCAAGTGGTGGGAGAGTCGAATGCAAGTGTTCCAACATCGTTTTAAATCGCCGAGATATCCTAGAGAATATCCTGCGTTGTCATGGGCCATGCCTGTGCTATACTCAGGAGGCGGGGGAGGGAATAGCTCGGAGATGAAGGCAATGTCATCACCCGGGGACATATCGCCATCAATACAATGGCTTTGATGCATCTGTTTTCGGAGTTGAACATATGCCCATGCTATGGCAAGGTCCAACTTGGAAACCCGGTAGTGGAGTGCTCGACAGGAAAGAAACAAAGAAGCAATATCCTTCAGACCACAAGAGGCTAGGATAGTAACAAATATATCAGATGGAAGTCGCTTCCATCCCGAAGCTTTAGGCACAGCCGACATCGAGCCACGTTTACCTCTCCGAAGCACCGTTCGGACTCGATTGAGAAAATGCGTCATCGTTCATACATTTGGTGAAACGTCTGAGATATCCTTTGGCGTGTACATTTGGAATCTCTGACATGAAAGAGCGGATAAGACAAACAGATGATAGAAAGACTCAGATGGAATGGCTCTAGCTATGATTGGAGTGTGCCCGGTAGAGACGCAGCAATGGAACTAAATCGAGCATTGCACAAACACCATCTGATACTTTGAGTGAAGACGTGGGATTTTACCTAAGAATATCAACCCAAAATTAAGCAATATGAAACAACCGAGATCGGGACGACGTCGGTGCCGGTGCCCCTAGAGTTGACGCCTTATATTCAAGGCATCGGAATATCACGGACATTTGCCTTTCCGATCCGTATCCTTTCCTCTCCTCAATGTCACCAGAGATCAATTGCTTATCAAGTATGCCAGTCATTCATGTATAGCTGGATTACTTGTTAATAAGTGTGCTGCAGCGATGGCTAGTCTATGTAACTCCTTGAATGGTGGGCGGACAATGGACTCGCCATCAAAACAACCCGCATCGTTTGCATGCGTGGTCTGTCACAACCGGAAGGTCAAATGCGATAAAAAAGACCCCCGTACTCCCTGTTCAAATTGCGCAAGGGCAAATGTGGAATGCATCTACCGTGCTCCACCACCGCCTCGTCGCAAAAGGAATCGAGAAACCAACGGGAGTGTATCTCAAGAACGCGGAAAATATCTTAGACGCAGCACGGGATTTGACGGAAATCCCTCTGCCCCTCAGAATCATCACCCTACCAAGGGAGATCAAGGAACTGAAGCAGGGAAAAGTGGATCTGGGAGGATGATCATGAAAGATGGCAATTCCATCTATCTCGACAAGTGAGTTGCTCGCGCTGCATTTGACCTAATCAGAGTTCTGACTTGCACATTAGCAATCTTTGGACCAGTGTGAGCAATGAGGTTAGTATTTTCGGACTTTCGCGTGCTGTCAATTCTGACAATCTTTCCTAGCTCCCAAATGCAGCAGACGTATTGGACGACGGATCGGATAATAGTGCAGATTACTTTACCCAGGATGTGAGCGACGATTATGCGATACTCTCGACATCTGCAACAAGAGACGTTCTTACGGAGCTCCACCCGAGCCCCCTGAATATCTTCAAGTTGTGGCAGGCATTTCTCGAGAATGTGAACCCACTCACTAAAATTATACACGCTCCAACTGTGCAACAACAAATCTTGGACGCCATGAGTGATCTATTAAAAGTAAGCCGGGATGTCGAAGCATTGATGTTCGCGATATACTGCATAGCATTGGTCTCCTTGCAAGCGGAAGATGTCGAAAAGTCATTCGGAGAAAGCAAGAAAGCCCTCCTATCAAAGTACAGACGAGGAGCCCAACTCGCTTTCAAAAATGCATCGCTTCTTCGTACATCAAGCTCAGTTGTTCTCCAAGCGTTTATGCTATACCTAGTGCGTTCGCATTCCTTTGACAAGATCCAAACCCCTTTTAACGATGTTTCGGTAGCTTTGCATGCGTTCGTTTTCTGATCCACATACTATCTGGACATTATGTGGCATTGCAGTAAGAGTTGCGCAACGAATTGGAATCCATCGTGACGGATCTGCACACGGACTTTCAGTATTCGAAACTGAGATGCGCCGTCGCATCTGGTTCCAGCTCATGATCATAGATGCCACGTCTGCGCAGTTCTGTGGTGTAGCATCAACACCGCTCCCAGCCACAATTGATGTCCAACCTCCAATGAACGCAAATGATAGCGACCTCGATCCTCGCATGACCGAGCCAGCCTGTGAGAAGCAAGGGACGACAGAAATGATGTTTGTTCTGGCACGGAGTGCATTTGGAAAATGGCTCCTTCGTTTGTCAAACCAGGCTGAGAGTTCTAATGTTGGGCCATGGGCTTTCTTGTCATCGTCATCGATGCCCTTGAGGGACAAGGACAAGACAATTGATGAACTTGAAGCACACATGGAAGACAGGTTCCTTCGGCACTGTGATCAATCCATCCCGCTACATATGGCGACGACAATGATGGTGCGTTCGGCTATATACTACACCCGGATGATGGCCCATCATCCTCGTCAATACCAGTATCGCAACCCCACTATCTCCCAAGTAGAGAAAAACGTCATCTTCGAGAATTCCCTAAAGATGATAGAGTATGCTGACTACGCCCAAAACGACCCAGTTGTACGGAAATACTCGTGGCACACGGTGAATCACATGCCGTGGGACGCCATAATATTCATGCTCTCGGAGATGCACCACCGGACTGATCCCGAAGAGAAGAGCAAAGTCTGGCAATTGATTGGAACTGTGTACTCAGGGCATATCAGGACGATGAGCAAGAACGGCCCAACGCCTCTCCACATGGCCATTCAAAACTTGATTGTCAAGGCCTGGCGGACGTACATCGAAGAGTGTAACCTCAACCACCGTACACCAACACCTTGTCCAACCATCGTTGCATCCTTGCTAGCCAATGCAGCAGGAATTTCTAGCCCGCAACAGGAAGATGAAAACTTCCCAGCTGCCAAGCATGGTGCTAGGCCACAAAGCCAACCTAGGTATGACCGTTCTAGTTCGCAATTTGGACCGGAGGCCGAAAACTTTTGTTTCCTCCTTGGTGATAGCCCGCAGGATTGGAATGACTGGGACAATCTTCTCAGTAACTTCCAAGGATCTTTTACAGATGATGCGACATATCTGTCGTGACCCAAGCAGTATTCCCAAACGCTATCGATTGCTCACAATTCGCTCACTCGTCCCTTCTAGCGAATCAAGAGGTATGACAGCAATTTTGGGGTTTGAAGTCCAGGTACACCCCAAAAGTTGGAGAGCCTCGCGCCGATCGGCACGCGAGGCTCCGATGCCGTCCAGATATCTTGGCGTCTACGAGCCTCGGGGTCGGCGACTAAACAGCCGAGCAGTGATGATTAACATTCTTTTTGGGGTTTATTTCTTTACAGAGCGATGGTATCTGCCTGATCAAATTTTTATTTAAAGCCGGGTCCGCTCGGTGCTGAGTTTTGATATGACCACTTTCCTACTTGCAATCATCTTTTGACGATATTCTGCCCTTGATTCATTAATCCAACCTTCATACCCTCACTCCGAAGGTTGTTCCAAAGATGAAACCTAAAACGGACGTTCTCATTGTCGGCGCAGGCCCAACTGGCCTTGTCCTTGCTCTGTGGCTTCGCCATCAAGGTGTCAATGTCCACATTTTTGACCAGGCAGAGGCTCCGGCGAAAGACTCGCGAGCGATAATTGTTCATGCACGCATAGTCGAGCTGTATAGACAGCTCGGATTGGCCGAAGACTTGCTGGCACTTGGGTATAAGCTGCCGGCGACAAATCTCTGGGTTCACACGCAGCACAAAGCACACATTTCGCTACAAGATTTCGGTCGCGAGTTGACTCCGTACCCGTTCATGCTAAGCGCACCGCAAGATGACCACGAAAGAATGCTAGAAAAGCGACTGAACGACGTCGGGATCTATGTCGAACGAGGGTCAAAGTTGCAAGGCTTTGTGGACCACGGGTCAAGCATCACTGCTACCCTGTTCCGCGAGATTGATGGGAGCTCAACCACACATGGGGCGTCATACATAGTTGGCTGTGATGGAGCACACTCCGCCGTTCGCTACGGAATTGGTGCCAAATTCGAGGGCGAAACATACAAACCGCTGTTCTACATCGCCGACGTGGAAGGCAAAAGCGACAAGCACTTCAACGGCGAAGGGAACGTGGTGTTCACAGACGACACCTTCAACCTGGTAGTCCCATACAACAAAGCAGGCCATGCACGACTGGTTGGTATCATGGCCCCGGATAACGATGACGATGACCGTGAATCGCCAGAGCACGAGCACCAGATCACGTTTGAAGACATTCGACCCCGAATCACCCAAGTGATGGATATAGACATCACAAAGGTCAACTGGTTCTCCACCTACCGCAGTCACCACCGTGTGGCCGACAAATTCCGCAGTAATCGGGCCTTCCTTGTCGGGGATGCGGCTCACATCCACAGCCCAGTCGGCGGGCAGGGAATGAATACCGGCATAATGGACTCAATTAACTTGGCATGGAAGCTAGCAGCGGTTCTCAAACAAACAAAGATGACCGAAGAAGCAAAACACCAACTATTGGAATCATATGAGTCCGAACGCCGCTCATTCGCCATGATGATAGTCAAGTCAACCGACACAGGTTTTATGACCTTAACATCCAAAGGATTCTTCCCACACATTCTTCGAAATTGGCTGATTCCGTATCTTGTGCCACTGCTTTTGAGATTCGGTTTTACCCGGACCAGAATCTTCCGGGGTGCTTCTCAGCTCATTTGCAACTATAGAGGCAGCAGCCTGTGTCAGACTGGCCGGGGGAAAGTGCAGCCTGGCGATCGTCTCCCGTGGGTCCAAATCAACACGGTGGACAATTTTTCAACCCTGCGAGATGTTTGTTGGCAACTCCATATCTATGGGGAGTCTGTACCACAACTTGAAAAGTGGGCCCAGGAGATGAGTGTGGAAGTTTTCGTCTTCCACTGGGACGATCAATACGGCAAAGCCGGGCTGATCAAGAATGCTGTCTACTTGCTGCGACCTGATCAGTATATAGCAGGCATCTTTGAGGGCCCGTCTGTTGAGGGGCTGGACGAATACTTCGCTGCTCGGGGACTGTACCTAGATAGAGGCTAGAGTCTGAAATATTACCCAAAGGTCTTTCCATTATTTTGTTCTTTATCACCTGCCAATCTCGGCCATCGTTGTGCTACCTGCTTGAGACCACGTGCATGGTCATATGTCGCGTTCTGCCGTCAATTCCCCGTTTAAGACGCGGAATATCGCGTGCTTATCCAAGTCGACTCCCAGATTACCCCAAACGATAGCGAATGGGATACGAGAGCCACATCCGTCTTCATACCCCTCGGCATGCGAAAGAAACGGAGCGTGATTGGTGACTTGGCACATACTAAGCCCTATTAGTGCATCATTTTATTGGTGTACCTGCAGGGCTAGCCTTAGGAGCTCCACATAGGCGGGGCCATGAGACCCACCTATACTCCTGAGCATGTCCTTCCACTCTTTGTCTTTCGCGCCCAATCTCGACATGAGCATTAACAACTACCGGTGGCATGCGGAATGTCTCAAATCCACCCATGTTATGCCGGGCATACTCGCGTACAATCGACAAGTTGATCGGCCGATCAAAGCTCGCGGAATGAACATGTGCCACAGACGGCCGCGTTTCATTTGCCGTGGAGTCTAATTTCTGCCTGGATATTCCTCAACTGCCGAGCATCTCTTCTGATGCACATATCATGTAGGGAGAGAGATATAAAAGCCTTACAGAGACCGAGGAAAGGATCTTCGTACTCACTTCAGTCTAACTCTGTTTACCACATCATTTACTAGCACAATGAAGACCACCGCCCTCATTTCCTTGCTCGGTCTATCTGGTAGCGCCCTGGGTGCGGCCGTTGATACGGGCAAAGGAAATGCTCCCTTCGGCTACAAATCCGGCTCGAAGGAGTCCATTGCCAACATGAAAGACAAGATCGAGAATGTTGTCTGGGTCCTGCTGGAAAATCGCGGATTTGACAACATTCTGGGTGGTGTGAAGAAGGAGGGTTTGGACAATATTGTCAACAATGGTCCTTTCTATAACTTGGAGGATGTTAGCGACCCCGAGAGCAAGAAGTGGCCCAGCCAGTACAAGAACTACGACTCGGTTCTCAATGACCCCGACCACTCGCTCACTGGTACAAACTTCGAGCTCTATGGAACTTATAACCCTGACAATGAAGCCATTGCCAACGGCTCCTTGAAGGCCGATCTCTCGGGCTTCGTCAACCGCCATATGCTCCGGTACCCTAAGATCTCTGCCCAGCGAGCAGCCGACGAGGTCCTAGGATACTACTCTGAGGGTCAGGTCCCCACCATCGTTGAAATGGTTGATGAGTTCACTACCTTCAACAACTGGCACTCCTGTGTCCCTGGTGTAAGTACCGTCCGTGTTAGAAACTAGATATAAAACTGATCATCAATCAGCCCACCAACCCCAACCGTCTCTGCGCGGTCTCGGGTGTTACCGATGGCCATGGCAAGAACGATGAGAGCTTCGATGTCTCCTCCATCGACAGTACCAGCATCTTCGAGGTTGCCTCCAAGAAGGGCATCTCGTGGCTCAACTACGACGGCACCAACGGCGCCTTCAACCCAGACGCCTTGTTCTTCGACTGGACCACTAAAAACGCCAAGAGCAGCGTTGTGCCGCTCGAGAACTTCTACCAAGACGCCTACCTGGGCCTTCTCCCCCAGCTGTCGTACATCAACCCGTCCTGCTGCGGTCTGAACACCAACTCCATGCACCCCTCCGGCAACGTCTCCTTCGGTGAGGTTTTCCTGAAGCAGATCTACGACGCCGTCCGCACCGGCCCTCAATGGGAGAAAACCCTTCTCCTTGTCACTTTCGACGAGACCGGTGGATTCTACGACCACGTTGCGCCCCCGCTTGCCGTCCGCCCTGACAACAAGACCTACACCGAGAAAGCCTATGACGGCAGCGAGTACACTTTCAGCTTCGACCGTCTGGGTGGTCGTATCCCTACCTGGTTGCTGTCTCCTTATACCCCCAAGGGTCACGTTGAGGGCTACGGTACCGACCCCGTCACCGGCGAGTCTTCCTCGTACAGTGCTACTTCCGTGCTGAAGACCCTCGGTTACTTATGGGACTTGAAGGACTTGAGCCCTCGCGTCGAGCACTCTCCCGCCTTCGACCATCTCATTGGGCCGAAGGTGCGCTCTTCTCCCCAAACTCTCAAGAACCCTCACACGTTCCCCAATGCTATTTGAGAGGTTGTTTTAGGTGATGTGATATAGACGAATGGTTGGATATCTTGTTATTGATCATCCACTCTTTCTCTCGTGAGATGAGAGTCTAAAGACATATTACGATACGTACGCGCTGCGGATTTCACAGCTTTGTCAGGGGGTTTGTATACATACGTAGGTAGCCTTCGACTTGTTTGGGTGAATACCCAGTTGGTTCGAGATGATGTTCGAAATGTTAGGATGATAATACTACATACATAACAAATTAATTTGTTTTCTCAATGCCTTTCATGAACCGTAATGCAGCGTACCTCCTGTTGTAGCAAAATTTCATAGTCCAAACACCTTAGGGGATCAGAATGATACCTTTGCGACGAGTGCACTGTCTTCTTCTCCTCCTCCTCCTCCTCCTCCTCCTTCTTCTTCTTCCTCTTCCTCTCAGACTTTCGCATTCAGCAAGATGATTTCATGTCACTCGGGCACTGTGTATCGGGCATTCGATCTACTACCTGTCACACTGCCAAGCCGTAAGTCCCCTATCAAAGCCCATGTTGATTGTCGAAGTCCCTACTAATCCTGCTGTCGCAGCTCATGTCGGGGCTTTTATAAGTTCCTGTTGAGCCTAGCCTTAAGCCCACTCCTGGACCCAATAGCGAGGGGATTCTGGACTCTAGCTCGACTCCTGACGACAATAACGATGACAAGATCCGACTCGTTAAGTCGTCGGATTCGCCACCTGAGCTTGACCTGGGGGAGGCCCTACCTAGCAGCACGCACTCCCAACCGTCCGCCTAGTGTCCAGGCCCACGAGGGGCCATTGAGGGCAATGATAAGCTGATAAGCCCAGTCAGAAGCGAAGGTCCCCTTATTGGGCCAATCTACCCGACAGGCATCCTCGACCCGTGAAGAAAAGGCGCATCGACGAGAATACCGAACTCTCATATCTTTTTAGATGTCCTTAGATGTCTTTTGCGAATGCCAGAGGAAGGTGAAAATACAACTGGTACAGAACACGTTTTCTACGTGTAACCTGTTAGTTCTGAGAAAGCTTTAATAGGAATCAGCTCCCGAATCTTGATTAGTCTTCCGTCTCTATACAATTCGACGGTTGACTTGCACGCTAGAACCGCTGCGAGCCTGCACCAGACCTCGATATCTCTCCGGGGGACAATATCCGCTGAAGTATAGGGGTTTCGCTGTTACACCACTTCTACACCTCTAGAATGGCTATACCTATAATATGGTATATATTTGACCCCGAGGTGATTCTGCTAGATAGGATAATTTGGTGCATACATGTTTATATCCTCGATTGATGCGCGAGTGGATGTCTTGGATTTCTCTTGGAGCGCTTTTTGCAATCAATTGTAGGGTGAAAATTACTTCAGAATTTTAAATAGGAAACAAATTATTCGAAGAACGCATATAACGGACAGAGCAAAATGTACGAAGTGTGCAATTGGCGCCTGAGGCAGACACACTAAACTTAATTGAGCTGTCGATCTGGAGATTCTCGAATTCCGGAATTGACAACTGATAATCGACCTTCCCTCCGAGACCTCCCCAACCACAGCTTAGCAAGAATCACAATGCCTTCTCCCATGAGATTAGCGAGTGGGCTCTTAACCCGAGCCACCCGCAATATTGCCATTGAGTCCCCCCCAACACCACGCATTCTCCCTCTCCTCCGAAACAACACCGCATCACAATGCCGAGCCTACACTCAAGCACAGCGCCCACGGTGCAACCAAAGCATGCGCACCATGATCTCCGCACAAAAGAATTTCTCTACGTCCGCCTTCCGAGCAGGCCCTAAGACAATGGGCCAGATGCGCCAGCGCAACTCGACGGGCCCATTCTCGTGGAAGGCCGCACTGCTCTTCGTGCTGACCGGTGCCGGTATGATGCTGTACTTCCGGGTTGAGAAGGCGCGTCTCGAGCGCAAGCGCATGACGGAAATGAGCAAGGGTGTTGGTAAACCGAAGGTTGGCGGTCCGTTCCTCTTGAAGGATCTCGATGGGAAGGAGTTTACGGCGGAGGACCTGAAGGGCAAATACAGCTTCGTGAGTTACCCCGGACAATGGAGTAGAAGAGCATAATCGGTCTGATACGGTGGGACGGTCCTTACTGACACAATCTCGCTTTATTTCTATAGGTCTACTTCGGCTTCACTCACTGCCCCGATATCTGCCCCGATGAGCTAGACAAGATGGCCGAGATCATCGAGAAGGTCAAGGCCGCGACCGGGGACGAGAGGCTCTTCATGCCCGTTTTCATTACTTGCGATCCCGTCCGTGATACGCCCGAGGTGCTGCGCGAGTATCTCAAGGAGTTCCACCCCGGCATCGTCGGCCTGACTGGCACGTACGAGCAGGTCAAGCACGTGTGCAAGCAGTACCGTGTGTACTTTAGTACTCCCAAGGATGTGAAGCCCGGCGAGGACTACCTCGTCGACCACAGTATCTACTTCTACCTGATGGGTGAGTTGGCTGATAAGTTATACCTAGGTATGCAGTTTCGGTATGCTAACCGTTTATCACAGACCCCGACAATGACTTCGTTGAGTGTATCGGCCGCCAGGATACCCCCGAGTCTGCGTCCAAAGTGATCCTGGAGCACATCAATGACTGGAAGAGGGAGGGAAAGCCACTCAAGACGGAGTAAGAGTCTTGCGCCAGTGTATTTAAGGAAATTGTACAATATAGCCATTCGAATATCTGAATACCCTACTCACGCCGGAACCTTGTTCCAAACACTCCTATTTTTCGTGATCATGCTCGTATACTCAGGGTAACCAGGCCGCGCTTGGTCGAAACAAACAAATACAGAGACCCTTCGAACCGTTTAAGTTTTGGCGACACCTGTAAAAGAAGCCATCAGCATTACCCACAAGCCACGAGCGACAGCAACACCAACCACTAATTTCACCAAAACACGTAAACCCCAACCCAAACAGCACGTATATCCCTAAGCAGCATCGGATCCCAAGACCCTCCCCTCAGCATCCCGATCGGCATTAGCCCTCCACTCCATCCCCCCATCAACAAACTCCTCCCTCTTCCAAATCTCCGCCTTCTCCTTACAAGCCTCAAGCACCTCCTCACCCGCCCTCCACGCCGCGCCCCGATGTCCCGCACTAACAGCAATAACAATAGAAGCCTCTCCAATGGGCACAGTGCCCAGTCTGTGCGCAATACTCACTCCCTCAAGACGATGCGTCTTCACGGCAGCCTCGGCGATCCCCGCTAGCGTCTTCAGCGTCAGAGGCGGGTAGGCCGTGTAGCTGAGTTGCGAGACGGAGCGGCCTTCGAAGGTATCGCGCGTCGTGCCGAGGAAGAGGATGTTGGCGCCCGCTGCTGGGGAAGAGGTTTGCGATAAATAGGTGTTTGCGTCCAGGGTGTCGTATGTTAGCGTTATGTGGATGTTTTGCGTTGTGTCGTGGTGTGTGCGTGGGTAGGTTTTTGAATCCAGATGGGCGGGGACTTCAGTTGCTTCTGAGGAGGACATTTTGTTCGCATTGGATTTGTGCGGATCAATATGTTTGAGGGAATTGGGTTCTTTCAATCGTTCGGTCATTGGAGTTCTGACTCCCCCTCGATGCTTATCTGCTGCGGGGATCGGATAAGAGGCGCCCCCCGATATGCGGAGAGCACCGTGAGAGTTGACAGCTTTGCATACTTTTTTGTCCAGGTGCTTGTTCCATGACTGCTATTCTATTGCTTGGGTTTTGTTCACGTTTTTCATTGTAGAAAACAGTCTAGGTACAATGTATGAAGGAAGTGGCTTGTGGCCAAACTGAGATCGCATATATATATCACAGGAGCAACACCACAGCCTCATAGGGTCGAAGTGTCCACTGTTGACTAGAGAACCGCTGGGAAGCCTCCTCAACGCCTTCATAAGTGTTAAGTAAAGCCTGCTTCACACCAGTGATACCGTTGCTGGCCGCATCCCACTCTAGAGTCTTCTCTGTCCAGTGACACACAACCAAGGCCTTTTGATCGCCATACTGGCGAGTGTACGCAAAGACCTCCTGGTTAGGTTTGTCCAAAAGTGTGAAATCACCGTACACAAAGATATCGAGGTACTTCTTGCGCAATTTCAGCACAGTAGCCCAGTAATGGTATGTCGAGTTGGGATCTTTGACTTCCGCTTCGGCATTGATCCGCACATAATCGGTGTTCACAGACATCCAGGGCTTGACACCAGGGCCAGTGAAACCGGCATTCTCAGCAGCCGACCACTGGACCGGAGTGCGTCCGTTGTCGCGTGACTTCTTCTGATACTCTTGGAGAGCAATTGCTTGGGCAGCGGTGTCGTCCTTTGGCAGTCTATAGAATACCTATGGTCAGCTAACATCTCCGACTGCCACCAGGAGAGTGGATTACCTTTTCCAGTGGTTCAGACAATCGATGTCTTTGTATTCTTCAATACCCCATGATTTGGGCACATTTCTAGTTCCCAACTCCTGTCCCTGGTAAACAAATGGAGTACCAGCCTGCAATGCGAGGGCAGTAGCCAGCATCTTGGACGCGACGAGTCGATACTCCTCCCTAGCATTTGTGTAGCGATCAATTGAGCGCGGCTGGTCATGATTCTCCCAGTAGAGTGCATTCCAACCATCATTGGCATACATGAACGTCTGCCAACGCTCGAAGAAGTCCTTCAAGTCAGTGAGTTTCCAGCTACCAGGTTCAAATTTATCATATTTGCCATGGTCAATGTCAACATGTTCGAAATTGAAGATCATATTGATCTCATTGCGGTCAAACTGCACCGCACGGAGCACCTCCTTCTCGTCGGTGACGAACGGCATCTCACCAACACTGAAGGCATCGTACTCCTTGAGAATCTTGCCAAGACCCTGGAGGTACTCATGCAAGCGCGGGCCGTTGGCGTACCACTTGTCGCCCCACTGCCAGGGCGTCCGCGGGTCCTTGATGGGTGCATCGGGGAAGCTCTGCTCCTTGCTAATGAAGTTGATCACGTCCATACGGAACCCATCGCAGCCCTTGTCGAGCCAGAATCGCATGATATCGTGCACGGCCTTGCGGACTGGCGGGTGTTCCCAGTTGAGGTCGGGCTGCTCAACCGCATATAGGTGCAGGTAGTATTCTTGGGTCAACTCGTCCCATTGCCAGGCGCTCCCTGGAGTAGATTATAGGTTAAATGGTTTCGATTACCTGATAGAAATAGGAATACATACCCTGGAAATGAGAAACCCAATTGTTGGGAGGCTGGCGGTTGCCCTGTTCATCGTATTTGGCTGGCTTCCAGACATACCAGTTTCGGTACTCGTTATCCTTGGAGCTGCGCGACTGCTTGAACCATTCATGCTGGTCACTGGTGTGGTTGACGACCAGATCCATCAGGAGTTTCATACCCCGCTGATGGCAGCCAGCGATCAATTTCTCGACATCTTCAACTGTGCCATACTCATCGGCGATGCTGTAGTAGTCCGAAATATCATAACCCATGTCCACCTGCGGCGATTTATACGATGGACAAAGCCAGACGATATCCACGGCGAGGTCTTTGATGTAATCCAGTTCGGAAATGATACCGGGGATATCACCGACACCATCGTTATTTGAGTCCTTGAAGGAAGCAGGCCAGATCTGGTACACGGAGCTTTCTTTCCACCAGGCACGGTGGTTGGAATTTCCTGGGGTAGCCATGGTGGTTTAAGATACGGATGGCAATTAGGGAGGAGATTAGGATATTCGGAGAGGAAATGAGAGAGAATTTGGGATTCTGGAGCAGTGCTGGCTATATATTTTTTATTTGCTGTAAGAGACGTGTTGTTAAGGACACTTGGAGCATGGCGAATCGCTCATGTTTATCCCACCGCGGGGCAGATGCGGACAATCATCGGGGTCCTCAGGATTGATATGTCGGCCCGAGGTGTGAGCTGTTTTGGAATGCAACTTGCATCTGTTGAATCAGAAGCCACACGATGTTATGGATCGTCTCCACCTGGATGATAATGGATACGATGATGCAACTGGGGTGGAGGGGTTCTTGGCCCTTTTTTAAATTCATCCTTCTGATCCATCTAAATTGATGTGAGAAGTATCATTAGATACAGAGTATATTTTGTTTCAAGACATGAAGTATAGGATTTTCAAATTGAAAGTTGCGCTGTATACTTCTACAGTCATTTATCAAAGTATACAGAGGTCCTTTGCCTTGATTACTCAATGATAGAGTGACCTTCCAACTTTTGGAAGGTCCATGAGTTCGGACCGGAAATACCTTATGCCGGTATCGGATTCAGATCGTTATCGTTATCGTAGCTTCGATACTCCGGGAGGTCACAGATTCTCCAGCTTTCATTCAGTAGACTCTCTTTTGCTCATTCGTTCATTTTTTCAAACCATGGCGCCTCCATATCGGAATGATAAATTTGCTTCGGGCTCGTCTCGTCGACCCTTTCCTTCGCGAAATGATCGGGATGGCCGCATGTATGATGATCGATCGCGATCTCGCTCGCCTGGTAAGTTTCTCCCCGCACGTCAATGGTGTATAAGCAAATACACATCTTGGTCACAGGAGTTCCCTCTTCACATGGTATTGAACTGAGGCTAATTACATTCTCATCTGAATTGGTAAATAAAGATCGTGCATGCTCGCCTCGAAGACTAGCGGCCGACGGCAGACTCGAGTACTCCAGAGACCGAGAATCTGGACAAGGCTACCGGAGCCATGATCGCGATGATTATCGCCGTCGAAACTCGCGTTCATCTCCTCACAGGGGCAGAAACACGTACAAAGACCGCGATCGAGAGGGTTATCGAAGCGCGAGCGGCAATCGAAGCCGAACTCGCAGCCCTCGTCGAGGCCAGTCCCACATGGGACAGGTGAGCCGAGAAGTGATGATGGATGGACTTCCGGTGGACATGACAGAAGAGCATGTGAGTTATCAAAATCAATGGCTGGATCAGGCGTTTGAATATCTCCGTTGCTGAGGACAAATGCTGACAATGCGCTCATTTATGAGCAAATAGATCTCAGCTGAACTTAGCAATGCCTATCATGTCGACGGCCTGGAAGACATTAGGGTCATTCGAGACCGACAGACGAGTATGTGAAAGTGACATACAGTTTTGAAGAGCGTGCATTGTTTTTAACATGAGATTGTGTCCAACAGAGTTGTCCCGTCAACTAGGGTTCCTGCGTTTTTCCACGATTGACGCATCGCGCGATTTTGTTGAACGAAACCACCCTTTCATCTTCTTTTATGGTCCCACAAACGACCGCAGCACACAAGTACGGATAGCTTACAGCCGCGAGAGGGAAGACCGAGCTCGTGCAAGAGGCGCAAGTGATTGGAACTGTAGGAAGGTAAGTCAACGTGGTAGCCCCAGGGGACCCGCTTTCCCGGTTCGGTGGTACCTCTGCATAGGTACCTCCCAGGTGACCTACCTAGGTACCTAGGTATTGTTCTGCGCTTACAAAATCAGTGTCTCGTTGTCAACTTCTCCACACGCTCCCATTGTTTCAAGTGCGGTATTCCACGACCCGGTGCGTCACCGTCACAAACACTCACACTCTTTGCAGCACTGACCATCCAAGCAGATATGGATACCGGCCCCCCTGGAGTTTCGGCTCCCAAGATAGCTAACGAAGGTGACAATGATGTCGCCCCTGAGGGCCAGCCTTCCCAGTTCCTCCTGATCCGTGGTCTAGCGGCGTCTGTCACAGAGGAGCTTCTTGCGAAAGGAGTTTCTAAACTGTATCGGCCGTCTGGCAACAATGACAGTGCGCCTGACAATCAAAAGAAGGGATCGAAGGTAGCCTCGACCACTGGTGACAGCAACTTGGGAGCGCGTGAAGGCTCTCTCCGTCGCGTGCTCCTTGTACGTGACCGCAGAACCAATGAAAGCTGGGGTTACGGATTCGCAGAATTCGCAGGAATCAACGTACGTTTATTTTATTCATCACATACATTGTTTTTCTTTCTAACGCTTGACATTTCAGGATGCACAAGCTGCAATGACGCGGCTCAACTCTTTTGAAAAATTTACCATCTCCTCCAAGCCGGTGTTGGTCTCCTACATTCACGGCGGAGTGTTTGTTCCAGTCATGAACGCCTCATCCGGTGCTAGCTACTTCACTTTCAGCCCGTCTAACAACCCATCGCTGAAATTGATGTACTGGGATGATGCAGCATTCGTCACGGAACTCGTGGTGTCAACCGAGGAAGACGATGCCGCGCAGGAGCAGAGAGCGAACAAGACAACTTCCAACCATGGAGACGCCCAAGCCAAGGGCATGAAGGACTCCGACAAGGGTAAAAAGAGGAAAACCGACGGTCCGGCCAGTGCGAATACCAAGAAGCTTGCAATGCCATCCCAGCTCCAATTCTGGAGTGACCGCCACGCTGAGCTACATGGGATCAACAGAGATGGTGCTGGAAACTCCGCGGAGGGCTCGAACTCAGCAACCCCGGCGACTGAAGCAGCTGCTCCACCGGCTCCATCATTTGCAGACTTCAACCAGAACTGCTGCCTCTTGTGCATGCAGCAGATGGTGGATGCGGGTCATCTCAGATACCACGAGCGCACTAGTGACATCCACCGCGAGAACCTGAAGGATGTCAAGTTGAGAATACTCGGCGTATGCTGGTTGATAATCTATCATGTCGTGCCTATGCCAACTCCAAACTATCAAGACAGCAAGGATGAATACCGTGATGGACTTGAGCAAGAATATTCCATCCCTCCATCCGCTCGATCCTTCGCAGACCTAAAGCGGAACTGGTGCCTGTTGTGCTTCAGCAAGTTCGATACTCCAGAAGAGGTCCTTGCACACGACCGCGTCAGTGAATACCATCGAAAGGAACTGCAAGATGAAGAGGCGGTGAAGTATGGCTTGGACCAGCTTAAACAGGCGGGTCTCGCGCAGGATATCAAGCCTGCGGCTCCAGAATACCGAGACCGCGCCAAGGAGCGCCGCCAGGCATTCGGACGTGACGATGCTAATGCCCGCCAGCGCCCCTCCGAACCAGAAGAAGAGGACGAGCCACCCGTGCAGACAACCTCGATAGGTGCTTCTCTTCTCAGCAAGATGGGCTGGTCGGAAGGATCTGGCCTTGGTGCTCAAGGAACCGGCGTGACCGAGCCGATTCCTACTGAAATCTATGCCCAGGGTGTGGGACTGGGTGCTCAAGGGGGTCGACTGGGTGACGCAACTGAGGAAGCGGGTCGGAACACTAGGGGTCGGTACGACGAATTCCTGGAGAAGACCAAGGACGCCGCACGCCAGCGCTACGAGGAGATGGACCGATCCTGATCGATTCAGGACGGTTATTACGATACGGGTGGAAGTGGTGGGGGTGGTCGGAGTCTGAGGGGATATCTGATGACCACCTCGTGTGCCATAACTGGATGGCCAATTCCATGTAAGATTATGACAACTAATGAACCCTTGTACAATGTAATCTCGCTCGCACCCCTTCGGGTGTATTTCCATTGTAATCGGCGAACCATGCCCAGTAAATGCATAATGTACAGCTGGTATCAAATCATGAGTAGAGTGTAGTTGGTACGTGTAAGTAGTCCACGATCAGTTCTCTTTAGTATCCTGATCCACCTTATCCTGCCGGAACGCCCTCTTCATCTTCTCCTTTTCCAATTGCTTCTCAAACTTATCACCGAGAATCTTAGAAACCCACTCGGTAACTTCCTGCTCAAGCTCTTCATCACTCTTCACGGGCGTATCACTACCACCCTGCAACCCATTCCGCACGAATCTCCGCATATCCTCAAGTCCATTAATATTCAAAGCATACCCGACCGCACCGCCGGCCATCAATCCAAACGAGAGTACATTGAGAGTAGCCAAATTCAGAGCCTCGAACGCATCGCCCGCGGAGTTCGAGTGCGGCTGGTGGTACACCGAGCTTGTGTAGAACGGCGGGATGCAGGAAATGCGTTTCTTATGGAAGGCGCGCCGTGTGACTAATACCGAGAGCGCGAAGAAAGTCATTCCTCCGAAGAGGAGTTTGAGGTTTGTATTTGTTTGGGGCGAGGGTGGTTGTGCTATTTGTGTTTGTGTTGATGGTGCTGGAGTTGCAGATTCATCAGGGGTCGGCTTCTCTTGAGGAGGTGTTGGCTGGCTTGACTCGGGCTTTGGGCTTGAGCCCCAGCCGAATAGTGATACCATTGCTATGCGCGGTGTGTGTAAGCTCACAGACGAGGGTCGTTTGGTGAAGCGAATGCGAGGAGAGCTGAATGGTCTGGAAAGGGGGCAGATGGCGAAGGATCGAGAGACGCAAACTTGAATCGAAAGGGTGCTTGAGTATGGTTCTCCTCGAGGATAACTCAAAGCACTGTATCTGGGGCAATTGTCCGGTTGCTCGCGTGAATCAAGCAAATCCGCGTGGAGGCGGAGACGACGCAGATCTACACGTGACCCAATTCTAAGGATTTCCAATGTTGGCTGCCTTGACATTACAACAATTTGGTGGAAATCAAACTCATCCTTCCGCGGAAAGACGCGGTTGCTAGTAAAATGGACAGTCTGGCCACGAATTCCCTATTCTTGGACCGCGCGAAGCAACAAATGGCACTGTACTCCGTAGATGAGACCGAATGATAACCGGAGTTGTTAGGGCCAGATGGTCGGCTGACTTGGATACCTTATTGAACAAGCCTATTGCATAACAGTTGCGAGAATACAGGACGGAAAGCTGAGTTCATCATGGAAATCCAAGTTTTGACATAAATGCTGTCCTTGTGCGATTAATTCAAAGGGAAACTGTAGAACCTGGCCAGCATTGAACGGATTGTCTTCTATTTAGCACCAAAACATAGCGCCAATCGAATCGGAAGCATATGAAGTAACGCCTAGAATGCAACTGACAGTAGGCAAAACAGTAGTAATAATAGCCCAACCCGAAATCTATCCAAAAAAATCGAAAATCATTCTCATATGTTCATAATTCAGCGCGCTTTGAAACAATCATCAATATGCTCAATAAAATTGCAAATCATAATAACAGCGCCGAGGATGTTATGCAAAAGGTCATAAAGGAAATTATTTCATATTACCCGTGGTAATAAGCATATCAGACCGACCAGGCCGATGGAAGCGATCGATACCAAGATGCTCCTTACCGTCACGACCGACATAAATGCCAAAGCCGTACAAAGGCAGCTGGCGCTCAGATGGCGGAGCAACGATAAGACGAGTGACGAGGTCAGTCTTGCTCCTCGGCTCGCGCAGGATCTTATCAGATAGAAGAGGCGACTGGTAAAGGTAGCTCATTAGATCAGCCAAGGTGGTGATATCGTGTGGGAGATAGCGACGACGACCCGGCCAGATTGCCAAGAAGGATACGGCATATATACCACAGAAGCCGATCAAAGCGTAGAATGCTGGCAAAAAGGCAGAAATGCGGATGTCGTCTTGAGAAGGGAACCAGAGGGCGGTGAACACGCCACCGGCGAGAATGGGGATAGCGAGTGACAGCAGGCTCATGAGAGAGATCCAGGCGACTTTGAAGTGGCGGTTGATGATAGCCTGGATAGTGACTTGGAATGGGAACGAGGATGGGTAGGAGAGTAGAATGCTCCGCTCGGCAGATGCACCGCTGGGGGATGAGAGCTCGGCGTATGGTTGGAGAGCGCGGGAGTATACGTCGACGGGTTGCCAGGCGAGGAAGAGGACGTTGCCAATTAATGCGGGAATGAAGCTATATAGGAAATTTGAGGAGGAGAATGCGCTTTCCGATGGGAGACTTGGGAGCCTGGGAGGGAAGCCGCCCTCGATGGCGCTGTTGATGAAGCTAACGGCAACGAAAGCGATGAAGAGGGCGAAGACAATGACAATCCAAATAAATACTGGGATTTTGCGCAGGAACCAAGGTGTCCAGCGGTAACGCGCGGATGGCGAGTATAGGTGATGGTCTTTTGGGCCATTGGCGAATGCACCGTTGTGCTCAAGATCAAAGCAAACCTTGGATAGTCCATGAGACTGGTTCTCTCGGCTTTTACCAGTCTGATGGAGAGATGGGGTGCGCACAGGAGCGTCTACTTCGCCGATGCCGTAGAACACCTCGGTCTTGCTTGAGAGTTTCCAGTAGCCCAGTCGAAGGACTCGGGGATCAAGCGATTCTCGCACTGAGGGTACTGTCTCGGAGTGCTCGAAGTCGTGGAGGATGTTTGACCGTTGAATAATTGAGATCAGATCCGCGAGGCTGACGGGATCCCACATCAAGCCGGACCGGCCACAAAGGAAACGGACGAAAAGCATGATCAAGCCTAGTGTCAGAACACCATATAATCCCACCAATGTCCAGCCCACAGATTGGACCGAAGCCCATCTCCAGACACCTTGTCCGTCAATGATATAATATTTTGCCTGGAAGAGACAGCTGAGGAGAGGGATGGCGAAGAAGTTTGAAAGCCAAATTGTGAACAGAGAGAATCCGAACAAGGCTTCTCCATGTCGAAAATGAGAAAAGTCTGGGAAGATAAAGCTTTTTGAGAGAATAGGCAGGTGGTTCATTACTAGACCTTCCTGTCGCTCTGCCGACATCATAGAAAAAGGTGCTATGCGATATACAGCAGCCTGAATGACGAACAACCAGATGATGATGGGCGCAGCAACTATCTGTGGTAGGAACTGAAGCACAAAGTACCTCGAATCACCTTGACGCACGTAGTTCCATAGCCCGTCCTCACCACGGGACCAAACATTGCAAAACACTATACCGGCCATCATGAGCAGACAACAAAAGATCGTGAGCGCCAAAGCCCACGGCCGCAGAACAAGAGGCAAGTAGTCCAAAGCTGGATACAACAAGCTCTGCTCTGGCGCATCAATGGCCATAAAGGACTCAGGGTCGACGGAGGCTGGCCTTTGCGGCAAAGCCTGCGGTGAAGGAGACGTATACGACGGTCTCACTGGAGGCGTGTCATGTCGAATGGGGGTGCGCGTGCGGGTGAAATAACCGAGTCCCTCATCCCATACCAGCCTATCAGTTGGATAGTCGCTTGTCGTCGTCGTGGAAATCGAGTCATTCCTTTGGACTCCCCGAGCTCTGTCCTGGGTGAGCTGGTCGATTGCAAACCGGACGTATGGGGAGTCGTCCATGCCTGGGGTCGGGGCTGGTCCCGGGTAATCATTGGGAGATCGGTGAGCAGTCTCATCTGATCTTGCCGCGTCGGATATAGGACTGATGTGAGCCGGTCTGTCTTCTGCGAACCGGACAGTGCTGGATGTTGGTGGGCGTTGAGACTCGAGATCTTCTTGGGCAAGGTGTATCTGCGACATGGCAGGTGATGGTGCATGCGAGTCTGGAGTCCTGAACCGCATGATAGTCGCTACACTCTCAGGGCTAGAAGGAGCTCGATCTGAGAATGAATAGTAGTCGTCTGATGCAGCCACGGACTGTTGAGATTCTGTCCGGGCAAGCTGCGGTTTGCTTGCTATATAGGAGTCAGTTGACTTGACTGTTGTAGAAGCTGTGCAATGTCTGTAATTAAAAAGACAACGGGGCGGGGGTTCTTATATGCACGTACTGTTGACGTTGCGCAGGCTGAAGTTTCTCGTCGGGTTCGTCATGCTGGCTGAATATTGATCCCACGCGCAACGGTAATTAACCTAGAAGCATTCCTCGACGCCCTTGAGATGCGAAGGGATTTTTGAGGACCAGCAATCGCTGCCCAGCGGGTTTTTGTCTGCCATGGTGCTGGGTGACGTTTCCCAGCCACCCCAGCCACCACACTGAGGTTTACACCCAACAAGCCAATAGGGATGAAATAAAAATAGGGATTTTCAACTCAGACACTATAGATTTGATAAATCACACTCAACATGATATCGAATGAAATATCGAGGAACAATTATGGAGATACGATTGAGTTGTTTCGCGGCCCGATCACCAGCACATCCATCGCCTAAAGCTTGGCCTTTTTGCTGTCTCAGGTCTCACCAAGTCTCACACCAGATCATATTCTGTTTCAATGTTTCAATTTCCATAGGTTAATTTCCATAGTAACCATTTCAACTATAGCCCTGCACGTTCTTGCCAGATCAGAACTACAATGTAACAATCTGGACTCTGCCTCGCATCCCCGTATAAGTTCCACACTGGCGCCCCAAGGCAATAATTGCCAACAATTGCTACCCTAGATAGCTGCTGTACGCAATATAAAGCAGGGTGTGTTCAGAAAAATTGACAATTCCAATTCAATGATGCAGCGTCTCGCAGTTGTTTTGCTCCCTTGCTGGTATAAGTGGCTGGAACTAGGGCTTCGCGGCCCGAACATCACATGAAAACATTAAGGCTGTATCCAGGGGAGGATGAAACATATGATCGAGGGCAATTACTTATCATTAGACAGTGTTTGAGATATTCATTTCTGTCATGGTCAGAAAGGATCTCTCTGATTTTGAGATCGATTACTATGGATAAATAAATTGGCAGAAACTGACATAGGTCGGATCCGCTACGAGTGGTTGGTTTTCCCTCGGATCTGGGAGTTAAACAGAGAGACTAATCTACATAATTGTTCCGTTTGTTATTAGGTGTTATTAGGCGCTGGATTGGAAGTTGTCTTTCTCTACAACAACCACATGTGCTTCTCCGGTTCTGTTTGAAGCTTGCGACATACCAATTGAAGGAAGTTTAGTTTATAGGGTGTTAGGCTCCATCAACTCTGTTTGGGGGCTTCCAAGTCCATTACTTGCCGCCATCGAGCTATATGCATAACCCGGATCATCACATCGGTGCCTAGGCTCATTGCGCATTTTCCTCCTATCCCATAGAGGTTATAGGCCCGGCCTTCGCTATTTTCCACAGATAAGCCATCCTGGTCGAATAAGGCGATAAGGTTGTCCCTATCGCATTTTTGTTATAGAACCTAATTTTCCGGATGGAATGGTTCTTCCTTTTCACAGCGTCAAACTCAGTTCAGTACGAGTCAGTTTGATGACGTAACATCTTGTGGCTGGCTGCACGACCAAATCGTATGCTGTGGCCCCAAACGGAGTTTAGATCTTCATGTATAGTGATCAGAGGTAATTGGACGTTCCAATTGTCTTTGTAACTTGTTGCACTAGGGTGTTTGGGGCCTTGCGCAGTGTATGTCTCAGATCTCGTTTGCTTATCGTTTTCTCTTTGCGAGGCTTTGCCTGTCCTCTTTTTGACAGACGTCCTTTCCTGGGGTTTGTCTTAGTCTCCATGAGGCTATATAGATAGCCTCATGGTAGCAGGTGTGCTTCATACTCAACAATCTCTCTGCACAGCCAACCAGTATAGCCTCCCAAAGACATCACTAGAATGGAGGAGGATTATACATATATCAATTTACTACCTATGAACCTCAATCCCTGATGTTATGTATAGTACCCACTGATTACAGGAGTACGTATGGGAGAATACAAATCCTTCTTTGGATAGAGCACGACTAATGAAGACTATTACAGTTTCAGTGTTGGGCTTAAATCAGTTGGGAGGCCCACGGTCTTCGCCAAACCCATATAGACGAGAGTCCATTTGCCTGGTGGTCAGATGTGGGACGATGCCTTGGGTACGGCACTAACAACACTTCGCTGGCGCCAGGCCTACTCTACCGCGCAATTTTCCCAGACGATGTGGAACTAGATCACTCGATATCACTCCTCTGACCTCGACACAATAATGGCCATACAAACAGTTAAATCCTATTTGTACCGAGACATGGTTTGGTCTATGAATTGGTAGTAGTAGGCTTTGAGGAGCTGTATAGTCATTGTTGTAACGTTTGAAGAGTGATGCCGAGTGATCTAGTTACACGTCGTCCGGGAAAATAGCACGGTAGAGCAGGCCTAGGGCCAGCGGTTTCAGCCGACGTTATCCAATGAGCGACATTTTGCCGTATTCATATGATAGTCCTTTCTGCTTGCCAAGATGACGGAGAACATGCGCAGGTGCGTCTTATCAGATTCGCGATATATACACCTAATTCATCACTCACATCTGTGGGCTGGCTTTCAACTTGTATACAATGTCTTCGATCCTCCTAAGCCCATCGGGAAACTGTCGACCAAAGTCCTGGGGAGATAAGAATACTACCATCTTCTTTATTTTATTGTTGCTACAACCTTGGAAGTAGGCAAGGCCTCGCTACACTCCGCGACTGTGCGTTTGATGCTCATATACCATTCTATCATTTATAATCTTGATACCCAATGCCAATGCCATTCAACGGGAAATGATTCTTATTTCTCGTCCATTATGGGAAAGTACTCTGTTCACACATGCTATGTCAGTAGGAGGCAAATATAGCAGAATCAAGAGCTGATCAGCATGCAGGAGAGGGAAGCAGAACTTGCGCATATTGCCAGCACCTCCAATTCCAAATCTCACATATCGTTCTTGGAAACCGGATGTCAACCGCCTATCCTGGACCTCATCGGGCCGAGAGGCCTGCAATGACTGAAGCAGAGTTACTCTGTCAAAGGTCTCCAACGGCAGTTGGCCCTCCTCCTCCTCCTCGGATTTCTGCCGTTTCGGCCGACTGAAAAACCTCCATAGGCAACGCATGTTCTGGCAAGGAGAGATAAAATATTCCCTCGTATCTTGATTCTCTCATATATATGATATGGACAACTTTGGAGCGAGAAGTTTACCGAATTAGTCTTCTGGCTCTTAAGGTCTTGATAGATTGGACTTACGCTTGGGTCGAGGCTTCCGCCGGGTTTAAGCGACTTTTGCATAAATCTGTCACATTCGGGAGTAATAGCCACATAGTTATATACCTAACTAGCCAGTTCGTTGCCGTGATTCACATGATGGGTTACGCAGACACTGTACGACCTGTGTAGCTTCAATTTCCCCGAAACAGCAAGGCTGACTACCGCTATATTAAGATAGGAAGATAAAAGAAGAACCTACGAGATATTAGCATGTATAAATGATAATTTTAGCCACATCTTGGAGATAGTTTAGTCACGTAGTCGAAATTTGAGTAAGGTGTGGATGGCCTTTGCTAATAACCACACGCATGCACCCAGGTTCAAGAAAGGCTTGCAACTTCACCACTATGTGTAACAACCGATTCCCGTAGCCTTTGTACAATTTGTTAAAGCTCTAGAAAAAGATATGAACAGAAACTAGGTTGCATTGAGAAGAGCCTTAGAGAGGAGACTTCCGATCTATATACCCACAAGCAGAGTGGAACATCACCATTGATAGACATCTCTTTGATTCTCGCAAGCAGTCCCTTAGGGGTTAGATGATATAGTGGTGTGTCCGGGTTGCAAGTGGTCACACAACGTGAAACCCTACTAGGAAGCTACTGGTCTTTTGAGGTGCAAGTTTAAGCTTTATAACTTGAAGATATCGACTGCCGTCAGAGAAAGCCTGTGCAGTACCTTGCACCAACAGAAGAACATCAGCTGGTCATGATAAAAGGCGATCAGCCTTATCTGGTCTGTAGCAAATGGAATGAAGTTTGAGAATCGGGTAGGAGCTTCGAAGTGGAGACTGTCTGTTTCATATTAAAGGAAAGTGGGACTGTGGGTCCCCAACGGTGCGAGAGTCCAGATTTCGGGTCCAAGCGTCTTCTGGGGCCAAATAACCTGACTGAAACGAGCAAGTGCTGTGCCGCGTTAGTGGATCAAAGCATGTCTGGCGAGATTGCGACCCGCGTTTGAAGGGTGTGTTCGTTGATGGATCGCAACATATGACTTCTGGATGCCATCTGGAAGCATTTCAGAAACGCAGATCTCGTGTTTCACCATTAAGAGGATGAGGGTTCTGAAATCATGCACAGAGTACATATCTTGGCTCCTTGAAGGCTTTAATTTAAAAGCAGAGAAGACCTTCACTGTCACTTGGTAGCAAACGCGAGACCCAATCGAGCACGGCAGAGAAAAAGTCTTATTTCATTCAGGGATCAAAGAAGATGGCAAATTAGCCAGCGGGCGTAGCCAATGATCATGTGTACCAAGCTCGAAATTGTCCCAGTCGCGATTACTCCGACGGCCGGGCTTGGCGATATCTCCCGAAACGGCACTCGAACCAGGTAGAGCGAATGAGAAGGCAGAACAGCTCTGCGCCAACAACCCCGGCATTCCAGAGAGGGGAACCGTGCAGCGGGCATATTATGTAGCCTCACGGTCACGTTGAAAGGGGGATCGAAATAGGTGGCCAAGAGTGGACTGAAAGCTTCATATAATAGAGAAATGATAGAGCAATGTAGATGGTACAACATAGAGCAAGACGTAGAAATAGGGATCATCTGACTGATGCCTGAGGCCCGAAATCCAAACCTCCACGGATTCTCCTCCAATGGCTTATCTGCGCTCCTGTCATTCCTTTATTCTTTGGTTTGATTCTTTAAATTTCCTTTGGTTCTTAAGTTCTTGGCTCTTCCCCTCGTTTGCTTCTTTTTCTTTTCTACTTCTTTGCCTTGAAAGCTTTTGTTTCGATATCGGGTCAGATGTCCCCTGCCAATGCGGTGTTAGAACCTCAACTCTTGCGTCGCGTGTGCTATTAGGCCACCAAATAATCGCTTATTTTGTTCCTATCTGATTTCTCATTTGGCCTGGAAACAGACACAAGGTTGACCTCCAGGGTCTCCCCTCACCATGTTGCTCAAGCCTGCGACACCCCTCAGCATCTTGCTGCTGATCGCCTTTGTGCTGCTGCTACTCTCATGTCTTTCAACTCCTATTGTTAAGGGAATTCCTCTAGCGACTTTCAGAGATGTCGATTATGGTGTCTTTGGATATTGTAAGGGTGATACCTGTACCAATATCCATGTGGGATACACGAGCAGTAAGTCTCCCCCTGCGGTTCTGCCTGCTCTCCGCTAAGTTCCATGCAGATGATATAAGTAGCACCGGCGATGATTTCAATTTGCCTTCCGGTCCTCGAAAGTCGCTATCCTCGATCCTCATCATCCATCCAGTCGCCGCCCTCCTGACTCTCATCTGCCTTTGCCTGGCTATCGCTGCCCACTTCCATGCGCCCTCCCACTCGCCGCGCTTCCTGTTGGCGCTGCTCATATTATTACTGCCAACACTACTCGTGACTCTCCTCGCATTTCTCGTCGATATCTTGCTATTTGTGCCACATCTAGGATGGGGTGGTTGGATCGTGCTGGTCGCGACCATCATCCTCACCTCCTGCGGAGTGGTCACATGTGCCATGCGCCGAACCCTTGTGAGCAGGAAGGCAAGAAAACGCCGGATCGCGGAAAATGCTGAGATGAGCGGAGAGAACTATTACAACCGACAAAATGCGGCTGCGGCTGCGGTTGGGCCCCCTGTTCCGGCTCCTGTCGAACCCAAGGAAGCCTTTATGTCGAACTCTCTCAACTCCGACTCGGGCCCAACATTCGCGACCTTTCGCACGGAAACACGCGATAGCGATGACGATCGAACACCCCTAAACTCGCGGACTCCCATGAGCGATATTCCGGCACCTCCGGACCACCGCGGTGGCCCCTATCGCGCTCCGCAGGATGAACTTGGCAATATCCCGCCTCAGGGCTCGGGTCCGTACGGCGCTGGTCCAATGTCACGGAACCCCTCCGATCTACGGATACGTCCCCAATATTCCGATGGCAGTATGGGTTCCCGAAGAGGAGGAGCTCCGCCTGGCTTCAATGGACGCGGGCGGGGTGGATATCCTGCCCGGGGTGGACGTGGAGGACCTTACATGGGACCTCCTCGCGGCCCTTCCCCGGGCTCACGTGGTGGCTACATGGGGCCAATGCCAGGCCGAGGAGGCCGCGGTGGAATGATGCCGTCTCGAGGACCAGCCGGCTATGGCCCCGGTCCAGACGGCTCCAATCGCGGGTTTGACGCATACGGTCGGTCTGTCTCGCCTCCCATGGATGACACTTATAGTTATGGACCACCGGGTCAGATGCGCCAGCCATCTCCCGGGCCAATTGGCATGGCCGTGTCACCGGAGACGGTAGGCCAAGCCATTGAGATGACTCCGCAACCTCGGGCGCAGTACGATATGCATGAGTCGGCTCAACCAATGAGCAGCGTACCACAAACGCTCTCAGCTGAAAATAACAGTGCGGTCCCTGAAAGCCCGACAAGCATGTACAGCCGACCTGGGTAAGTCAAAATGTTACAAATAGCGTCCCTAAAATTGACGACTAACCCCCTATGTTTAGTTCCTATGTTCCTCCTCGCTCCGGCTGGGGTGGGAATGATCATCGTACTGTGTCCCCGCGGCCACAGGGGCAATCTCCGCAACCCAACAACAACGGTGTCACTTACTACGAAGACGTGGATCCCCGTTTCGCTCGTCGACCCTCCCCCAAGACTGACTCTGCAATCCCTTCCTCTCTGACGCCTGGAGCTGCTCACTGTACGTACTCTGACATGTCCACACGTGTTGACGGAGCCTTGCTGACTTTCCCCCAGTTTAATGAAATCTGTTGGCTTCCAAGTGTCAATCACGCTTGACACGATTCTTCCACCTCTTCTACGCTCTGCGATACCCTTTCCTTTTCTTCACTTCTCTGGCTAAATTCTGATAACATTTTTCGCCCGATATCATGGCACACTGGGTCATTATGGGGAATGGAGTTATGGTGTCTTTTTCTTCCCATTTCTCCATAAAGGCTCTCTATTGGGACGGCAATTCGTCGTTTCGTCTCGTTCTCAAACATCCGCCACAAAACATAGGCATTGAGAACGAGTGTTTTTTCCTGCTGCTGATTGTGCTCCGCCTGAACTCCGATGTATAGCAGCAGGCGGGTACGATGTACAGAAACCTATTTTCAAGATCTCTGTCTTTATCTGAGATCAAAAGCACTCAACGCTGCTTTCGATTTGATTTGATTTGATTCCTACTTTCTTCCACTGAGTGGACTGTCAATTTTATTCTACCAAAATCCACATACATTTCTATTCCCCGCTACACGTGACTTTTCATATTATGGAAATATAAATAAGAACTTCTTTACTGATCCGTGTATATAACTCTGTTAAGATCTTCTCTCCAAACACTAGCAGCCCTATCCTATGACTTCAATCGTGATCTTCCATCTTCCCTTGCCAATTTTGACGGCCATCTCGCTAACCTCACTAGAAAAAAAGGTTGACATACCATTGCGCCACTGAAATCGAGTACGTGGAACCTGCGATTGCCCTGATTATTTCTTAACGTTACCTGCATATGTAGGTATGCGTCCAATTCTTAGGTGTTTCGAGCATTACGCCCATAATCTCCCTACAAGGGCTCGAAGATCCAAGGGTGTCCCTGATACTGCGTCCAACCAGCGGAAAACAGAACTATCAGCCTATCTCTTGATTGTGAGATGTGAGCTGCTGACGAGGTAGTGCACCATCGTACATACCTTGAGGGAGTGTCACAGAAGAAACACGCATCGATATCACTACTTGCTCTGCTACCAGGTACGCGAGATGTTAAACCACGCTGCAAGTAGTCCGCACAGGGGGTTCCACTACCCAGGATTAGAGTACCAGTTCGGTCTAATCGAAGGCGAGAACAAGCCAATGTCTCTGGCGAAGAAGATGAGGAGGGGGCCCGAGTCATTGCTTCATTGATGAGTAGATAGTTTAGGCACTCATAAACCTATTTTATTAGGCTCACATTGTATTCTCGACCGTTCAGTAGGCTATTGTTGGATGATCCTATCCTCTATGCATGGATGCCTGGTTTTGCAGACTGAGGGTTTCCTGTTTGCTCTTTGTGGCCTGTATAAAAGGCCTTTCTTTTGATAGATTGATGCAGCAGCTTCTTCTTCTTGATTTTCCCCTAGTCGCTCAGATGCTCAGTTTCTAGTAGCCTCAACAGCTATAACTGGCTAGGCACTGCCGATTTTCACTTTTCTCTTACTTTTCGTTGAGATCATTGCTATATCAGCCCTCTCTGACATATGGCTTCTATATAAACTGTGGCTTAGTCTGCTATGGTATTATATTGTCACTGGATTTGGATATATTGAAGTGTTGACAGGGTTATTGATGGCTATCGCTGCCTGGGAGGTATTGATTATATAGGCTGCACCAGCATTGTTCTACTCATTTTCAGATGTCAATCGGCACTCCAAAAGCTCAGTGTCGCGGTTCATGTCACTGCCGGACAGCCTGGCCGGGCACCCGAGCTTCTCTCCGTACGACACCGTAACACCGAGACTGCTCACCGGAACGTCTTTATCGAGGACGGGCTCGTTGTGATTGCGACCAGCTACCATAAAGCCTTCTACGCCCGGAACGACACGAAGCTAATCCACCGGTATCTTCCACGCGAAGTGGGCGAGTTGCTCGTACGGTATCTCTGGCTGGTCCTTCCCTTCGTCGAGCGGCAACTATATGGTCCCTGATTGCTATTTAAGACGCTACCTAGAGCATTCTGATTTCGATTTCTTCAACAATCTCATTGCATATCCACTACAACCGAGAACCACAACCAGCAAGGTATGACCCCTTAGCCCATAACCCACATCCCAGACGAGGCAATGAGCTAACTACAGATATGGCTACAGTGCAGGCTAACTATCATCGACACTTCTCCCAGTTACAAATCCACTAGTCCCTAACCAGTGAGATACACCCCGATCGCAGCGCTTCGAACACAGCTATCGGGTATAAAGTGGCCGATACCGGGCCCATCCCGTCGCCTAACGACGGGGAGCTCGAAGAGCTCGCGAGGCTCACGGAGCGCGCTCATCGCCGAGCGCGTGAGCGCAAACGGATTGATAAGGAGATAACGCATAAGGGGGACAAGGAAGCTATGATGGCCGCTGGTCCGTGCTACTACCTGTCTCATCAAAACCAGCTGGAGGCCACGGACAAAGAATCGGAGTGTCTCTATGAAGGATTGAGCGATATCGAGACAGAAGGGGAAATTGATCGCCAGAGAACAGGATATCTGGAACCAGGTTTGTTGAGCAAGCTGAAGACGGGGACCAGTCCAGTCAGCCTACTGTACTGGACAATGCCTTACTGCCCGGATCTGTTCTCGACATTCTTTCGTTTACCAATATTACTATGCATTCACAAATCCATGGATTGATTTATCTTTATATTCCATCAGTAGAGATCTGAGGGCAGTCTTGTATATTGGACCGAAGCAGGGTTCAGCTCCAATTTCTCACTGTAGCTTCTTGCCGGGACGGACATTCGTATCATCCTTACGGATATGGGCGTTTCTCGCATAAACATCTATTGACTTATTGGCAATAATGGGGAGTTTCAACGTTAGTAAAATCTCGATACTCTCATAGTTCGTGTTTTATATTGAGAACTGAAAATCTAGAGCCAGTAGGCAGTAGGCACATGTGCGCCATATCGGACTTTCCCAATGCTTCATTAATTCCTGATTACATAGTAAGGAAACCTGCACTCTGATCACAAAACATCGTCCATTGTTCCAAATTTCTAAATTTGAACCTCTTCTCTAGTTATCATTGATCTCGCTGTTCTCCGGTGCCCGTGGCACGTCCTCGACCTCATCCCCGTCCACGTCCTGCGGTCTTGGCAGCTTCTTCAGATCCCGCATTTAGCTTCCTCCTTTTGGCGGGTTCTGATTCTCTGAGACTGCGGGCAGTGGATACAGTCGTCAGGGGGGTTGATACGACAGTGGTAGTTCAATACGATATGGCGCACTGGCGGCTATACACTGCCGTAGGAGGGGCATTTCCTTGAGGAAGAGCTAACCTACCAACAACTCGAGCGCAACCATAGGAATCTACGCGAAAAAAAAATCACTATCATACGCCCCAGTAGATAAGAAACAAGAGAGAAACGAGCACGTCAATTGAAGCACAGTGACAAGCCATAGACCGAAGCTTATGACATGAAGTCCACAAGAATTTCAGTCAACCATAGAAGATGCTAACGCCCAAAGAGAAAGCAAGGCGACAAAGAAAGCACCTACGGTCCATGCCGTGTCCCAGCCGAAAATGAACTGAGCAGCTATGACCACCACCAAGGATATGGCTGCTAAAAGCAAAAAGACCAGAGGCCTATCTAGTGTCCAACCCTCCTTGATGAAGATACCCGTGAATGGGAGTTCTATCAGGCTCGGACAGTGTGAAATGTACCGAGCATTGAGATAACTCAAGATCTCCCTATGAAAGATGGATCAGGGTATATTCCAATTTGTATTTCTTGATTACCTGCTTGCTTACTGGTGGCTGTATATCAGGTCCTTGTTCTTGAGAAAGTCATTGGATGCGGCAAGGCTCGGGTTTGAGAAGACATGTCTCATGGTAGCCGGTATTGTCAATAGTGAAAGCCTCCGTCTAGCATCATGTAGTACTTTAGCTGGGCAAACGGCATTATCGTCAAGGTCCGGAGAACGCTCATTAATCATGCAAGAACAGTCTGCTCTATCTGTGTAACAATCGTAAATGCAGCCGGGTGTGACATCACAATTGTCTATGATATTTTCCAGTATTCTCTTCTCCGAAGGTATGTCAGTCTCAGAAAATGCTCCAACATATTCGCGTTCCTCTGATTTTCTCGTGGTGTCTTTTAGCCCCAGTATCCAGAGCTAAGGTTATTAATGAGCAGACTCCTCTGGAAGAATTATATCGTCAATCTTACCTCGACGCTGTCAACTCGTGCGACTCTCAATCCAGGTATGAATTTTCTCCAATTCCCTTTACGATTGTACCAGGTCTTTTTGATCTCTCTCCATGTGGTCACTTCATCTTCCTGACTGGAGACAGGCACAGGCAAGATCGAGCAACAGGATGGCTTACCCCAACATATTAAAACCACAGGACATCCATTTTCTGGAAGAAGATATCTCAGTTTTTCTTTCAAATCCTCTATTCGGCGCTTGTGTTCATTCGTCTTGATATCAAAAGTGGAGGAAGTTGTTGTATTGAGGCTTTCCTTGTCGTTTTTGCCTTTTCCCTGGTCACGTTCACCGCGTTTGTTGACCTTACTGTTATGATTTTCAGATGCATGGAGTGATCGAAAACGGGACTGGTCATTTCGTGCATCATTCGATCGGTATCTGGTTGGGATTGTATATGGGAGCGACGATGTTTCAACACGGGGCGGTGATTTGAGATTGTTAAGGAAATATGGTGTTGAAGGAAAAAAGTAAAAATGTCTAGCCATCCAATTTCGTGCATATCTTGAAGATTGTAGATGTTCGAGATCACTGAAGGACATAGGTCGATCGACTTCGATTTGCGATTCGTCATCCACGGACCCCCGTGCTGGTATTCGAGCTGGAGGAAGAGGGCGAGGTTGCGACATCTGAGAAGGAAGTTCGAGATCTTGTATGTGAACAGCTAAGCACTAGTGATGACCTGTTATGTCAAGCCGTCTTGAGGCTATGTCGCTGATGTTGGTACTGTAATTTCTTTGGGCAGTATATGCTCTACGGCTCATTCACTGACGCCCAAACCCAAGATCTATGTACGTCCATTCGATTGAGGCT